ACAATGTTTAAATACGAATAGTTATTTTAGAATTGTATTTTGTTTGATTTTGCATGGGAAAAAATTTTTTTTTTAGGTGTCTTAATTTTGAAGCGCACTTAAAGGCCCAACAGACGGAATGTTTTTTTTCAAATCAAGTAAATAATAATCTTTAGTCTTTATTTTCTGTTTAACAATTTCAATTAATTTCTAATAAATGTCTAAACTAGATTGTAAATAAGCAAAAAATAATACTTACAACCCAGTTTCATTTAACTATAAAGGGTCTAAAAAAAAATTATAAATAAAATTAATTTTTATTAAAGATTCGTATCTGATAAATAAATTTGAATATTGATCATATAAATAAAATTTCTTTCCAAAAATAGTAAATATATATTTTTTAAAAATTTCCTAAAATAGTAAATGTAGATTTTTTAAAAATTAAAAAAAATGAAAATTATAAAATTGCAATAAAGATTGTAAAATGTTATTTTACATTTTTAACAATAAGTATTTAAATTTTAAATCTTAAATCAAGATAAATAAATTTAACATATCTATATATGTTATATTTAAATTTTGTTCTGTCTTCATTTTGACTTTTGTTTTTAGGTTTTTAATTTAAATAGGCAAGCAAAACCGCCTTTTTAATCGAAAAAAGGGCTTTGTTGTTAAATTTTATAACAAAAAAGAAAGATTTATTAAAGTATGGGTGTCATCGGTGACAATTATTTACTTAATTATAAGATTTAAGTTAAATAGTAAAATATTAAACAGGGCTCTGAAACAAAAAGTTTTAAGAGTAAGAATAAAAGTATTTAAGCTAGTTTATTGATAATTATGTTAAATAAGAATTTAAGTCTTCGTAACAGAATCAAATTTTAAAAGATAAGGGTAATGACAATGGGAAATTTTAAAATTAAATCGCTAGTTTATTTTTTTTTCGATAATTTTTCTTTTTTTAATTTTTTTTAATTACAGTATTCTCTAAAATGTCGTTTTTTCTGGGAAAGATAACACAATTGATCTTTTTTTGTTCTCTTCTCTACCTTATTAAGTCTTGATCAGTTATTTTAGATGTAAACAATGTGCTATTATAGAATTTTAATTTATGTTTGTATTCACCATTTATAAATAAAAATTTATGGTAAGCACTAATAGAAAATATTTAATGTATTCAAGCGTAATATTGTAAAAATATTTCCCAAGATTTTTCAAACAGTGAAATAAATTGTGTTACATTGCTAAGTCTATTTTGTTCGTTAACACTGTTGGAAGATACTACTAATCTTTTGTGACACATTTCTAATGTAAAAATATCTCTACCTCCTGTAAATATTCGACGATTAATAAGCTCAATATTATTACCTTTCTTTAAGCTTAACTTGATGTCTATCTCAAACCTAAAATTTTTACAATTTTTTAAACTTTTAGAAACAATAAATTTATCGTCTTTAATTTTCAATAAATCTTCGTCTAAAAGTTTCTCTTCTTCTGCAGTCATATTTTTAAAATTTTGTTTTAAAATTATTTCTTCGTACATAATCTCAAATTCCGCATCTTTATCCATTTTATCGGCATCGTTCAAAATAAAAAGTTTTCCAGCAACAGATCTACCCTTTGTAATGTATTTAATAATGAGCTTATTATCTACTAAATCATAATATATTTGATATCTAACATTATTATAAACCATAGAAAATGTATATATACATTTTTTTTCATCAAACTTAATATTTTTTTGTATCATAAAATCTTTACGAGTTTTTTCATCTATTAAATCATTATTGTTAAAAAAATAACATTTAAGGTTGGTCTTAAAATTTTCATTGAAAACCCTTTTATAAAACTGTAATGAAGATGAAAGTGTCTCGATAGTCATATTTTCATTTAAAAAGCTATTTGGTACATCATAAATGTAAAATTTGCCTGGTAAAATTGTAATTGTAATCAAATAATTAACAAATTCTTCATTTTTTTCTAACATTTGCTTTTCGTTTTTCTGAATTCGTGGATGTAAATAATTAAAAAATGTGTTAATAAAGAATTCTTTTACATTAATTTTATGTGTCTCCATCTCACAAAATCCTTGATTCATCAATTTAGGACTGTAAACATTTATATCCTTATGCAACATATGCTTAATCCCTTTATATAATTCTAATTTTACTTCATCGGATGTGTCAAACATCCCTTTTATTACTAAATCCCCCTGTCCTCCTTTTTTGACATAACTCTGGTTGGATTGCTGTTTTTGATAATTTTCACTTACAAAATTCTTTAAAGAAAGATACTTTTGTACAAGACTTATTCTAAAAATAAATAAATATCCAACACTAGATATTGTACGAGCAATTCCGTCAATAATTAACTTAACTTCCTGAGAATTATCCTGAAATCTTTTTTTCAAATCAATTTTTTGATTAATAGTTACAAGATAAAATTTTTCTTTTGGCTGGATTAATGCTTTATAAATAAAATATGAAAAAGGTTCATCTGTAGGATTTTTGTAAAATTCCCTAGATATTTGATATAAAGCTTTGGAAATTTCAATCTTATTATTTGCTTTTACTTTTGATTGTAAAAATAAAAAAAAGACAAATACTAAATCAAAAAATTTTGAATCAAAAAATTCACATAAAAATAGAAGATTGAAAATTTCGCCAAATGAATCATCAAAATCTCTATTTATGTTAGAACAAAACCTTTTATAGATCATGACATCTGTATAGACGTAAATTTTATCATTTTTTATAATATATTTTTTTTCTAAGTCATCACTTTTTTCATTTGTCATATTTTCCTTGTCAAATAAATACAGATCATTGGTCTCTGTATTTAAAATCTCCTCTGTGCCACTTTTTAAACTAACCAGATTGACAAATATATTAGAATTATAGAAAAAATTATCGTATTTTTTTTTATACAAATGATTATAACTAAATTTATACCTATCATGATTATAAATTGATAAAGGTAAACTGTTTATATTTTCTGTACATTCCTCACTCATCTTTAATAAACCCATTTCATTTATATTTTGAATCTTTATTTCATTTTTTATTTTTTGAAAAAATTTTTTCATTTCTGTTAAAATATTTTCAAAAAACTTTTCATCATTTTCAGAAGGAAATTGTAACAAAAGTTCATCTTCTTTATTTAACTTAAACTTTTTTAATAAAATATTTATCTCTTTCTTGAAATTTTTATAAAATTGTTTTTCTGTATTTGATATATTGATATCATTTTTATAAATAAATTTTTTAAATTTAATTTGACTACCTTCAAAAATCTTTTTTAGTGGAAAATTAAGATTGTCAATAAATCTACTTAAGCAATCTTGACATTCACATTTTAAATTTGTATTAATCAACGAATTAAACGATCTTCTATATAAAATACCCAAACTTTTAAAACTAGGGTAAATATTCCCTGGTATTTGTAAAAAATCAGGAAAACTTAAAGGAACAAGAGATTCGGGCACAGATGCAACAAATCCTGTCCTAGGAAAATCTATGCTTTTATTGAATAGCTCGGCTAGCAACTTCGCATTTTCGCTTTTTACATCGTTTAAATCACAATACACCATGTGTGCATGCGCAATATGACCCAAGTGGAAATTTCTAATATATCTTATGTAAAAATTAACAATGTCTTTTAAACATACCACTTCTTTAGACAAAAATGTTTGATCTTCATACAAAGATGGATCATGATAATTTTTAGGAATTAAATTTTTTTCCCAAATAATTGTATACATATCACCATCTAGATCTGAACCAGAACACATATTAGAAATTGGTCTTTGTCCTACTTGGTTAAAAACTAATATACTACGCATAAATCCAAGTTCTGGTTTGTTTACAGCAATAACTGGTCTAATATCTCCAGGATGGAGACAAGGATTTTTAACAACAATGCAAGGACCAATAACTATAACATAATCTCCATCTTCAACAAAATTATCGTATTTTCCAACCAAATCTTTCTTTACTTTTATAAAAACTTCATTTTCTTTTAAAACCATCAATTCGTCAACTGTCCCTAACAGAACAGCTCCATTTTTGATTAAAATTTTATTCTTTTTGTATAAATCTCGTGTGATTTTATTAAAAATTTGTATTAAAATTTTTTTAAAAATTTTCGAATCTTTAACACTAGAATTGCATGGCACAATTCCAACTGTTCTACGTACATACTTTACAGGATTCTCAAGTAACTCATTTAGTAAGCTTAAAACATAATTATCTTGATGTTCAACAAAAATAGAAACGTTTATTCCTAGACCTTCTAAAATATTTATAATTTGCCTATTTAAATAGCATAAATTTGTTGCAGAGTGTGTAATACACTCCATAGTTCTATGTTGAGATATAAATTTTCTCATACTTTTTCGTAAAATTAATTTAATCCGATCATCAGTTTGTTCTCCTAAGGCTTTAATTAACAAATTTTCATCTTTAAATTCTTCAAGTCGAATTCTTTTTACATCGGAATTTTGATAAGATCTTAAAATATTTAAAACAGCTTGTCCCAATTTCTTATTAATATTAAAATCTTTAAAACACTCTTTATCTTCACTATTAATTGGATGCGCAACGATAACCCCTTTATATCCACCAAATCGAATTTGAAATGCACTAGGAATTTCATCAAGACCCAATTTTTTAGCAATAATTTTTGCATGTGAAAGTGAAATTATACCTACGCCATCGGTAAATGTAAATCCATTTTTAATATTATCTTCAATTTCAATAAAGTCTATGATATCTACTGTAGGTATCGTACTACTTAAAGCCTGACCCAATCTCATAGCATATTTACCAATATTCTTGATCTGTGAAAAATCACCTAACCAATTTCTTATGTAATCAGGTCCTATTAAAGTATTTTTTGAAAAATAAGGTGTAAGAAACCACACATTGTGTAATTTCATCTGTGACGTAGTCATGGCGACAAAAAAATACTTTTTTTTTCCAACAAAAATTCCTTCATTCAAAATATTTCTAAAATAATCATAAATAAAATTTTGATCTTTGTTAACTGTATCTTTTATTTTAGTTTTAAGATCTTCTTCTCTAAATGATATTCTTAAAAATTTTTCGTAATCAAATTCTCTAAGAATTCTATTACTTTCAAAAACAACAGGTAATTTGTAAACTATTCTTAATGGGGTAACAACTGCGTGTTTAACTCTTCTTTCTTGCATTTCACAAGATATTTCATTATAATTTTCCATGAGAGCAATAAAATTTAAAAATCTTTTATCAATTGAGACTAGTAGATAATTAACAATATTAAAAATATTATATTTTAAAATCAGTTTACAATCATTCTTAGTTAAATTAAAATTTAAATATCGTTCTTTTTGGGATATTAAGCACAACATATAGAAGTGATCATCATAATTCAAATTAGAAAATTCTTCGTAAAGTTCAGGAATACTTAAAAAATCCTCTTTTGTAGCTTTTAAATTTGAAAATATTAAAGCTATATTTTGATATCTTGCAAAAAAAGAAATATAACAGTCAATAGTTTCATATAACATAATTCTCTTTTCCGTCTTAATGTTTAGATGCTTATGTTTATTTTTTAAAATAATCTCTTTAATTATATTAAAATCTGCATTATTTTTTAAATCAAATGAAATTTTTATATCATCTCTATGCACTAGAAAAGGAACTTCTTCTATGGAACATCTACTCCAAACAACACTTTCAAATAAGTTATAACGATCAATACTACCTAAACTTGTAATAGAAGATAATTTTTTGTGGATTTGTAAAGAATTTTTACATTTAAAAATTTTAGGTTTTCGATCTAAACAAATATAAAAATTAATGACAAATCCATCCTTTTCAATAAATACATAATCTTCAAAACAATTTTGCGATATTTTTAGTTTAAAGTTGCCCATTTTGCCAAAAAAATATATTGCAATGACATCTCTTCTGAAAAAAACATAAGAAGTACTATTCATTTTATAAGAATTGAGAAATGTCTTTTTGTTCGATATTGTTCCAAACTCTATACCTGATGATATAACTGATATATTGTCATGATTGGGCTTAATAAAATCAAATTCCAATGGTTCATAAACTCGTTCTAATATTTTAAATGCAACGTACGAAAAATTATGCTTTTTTTCAACATATAACGTATTTTTTTTCGTGTCAAATTCTTTAACTTGAAATAAATCATCTAAATTGATATTTTTCCTTTCATATGTTTTTTCACTATGTATTTTAATCACAAACATTTCAAGATTATTATAAATTTTGCCTGTATTCAACAATTTAGGAATTTTAAAATTAGGTTTAATCTCCGTTTCAATTTTCTTTTCAAAGTTGATTAAGTTTTCAAATAAATCTTCATTAGATTTCTGACACAATATTATTTTTTTAGCCTTGGTGTTAATAGGTTTAAAATCAAAAAAAATTATTATGTCTAATTCTGAAATATCAGGAAGCTGATTATAAATCATAAAATAAATTTTTTTAACAACATTATCATTAGAACGTATGTGAATCACATAATTAATCTGATCATTAGAGACAACTGTTAAATATTTTAATTCATAAATTATTATATTGTAAACAATATCAAGTATTTTTATAGAATTAAAAATAATATAAATGTTACTAGAGATACATTTAAATACTTCATTAATCAGAACATCTAACTTATTAGACGTAAAATGATATAATCCTATTTCATTTTTTATTCTATCATATTTCTTATCTTTCAATAATACATCTAATATAAAATTGGTTTTATAAATTCCGTTATACAATAAAAAAATAATTCTCTTTGCAACATCATGTTCTTCTTCCCTTTCACCATTTTTAAATTCATTAACAATTTGACATAAACCTTTTAAATGCAAATTAATTTGGTTCTTATTTTTATCTAAAAATATTTCTTCATCAAATTTTTTGTAGGTTTTAATTTCTGTGTTAAATAGCGCTTTTTTGTAGAACCATCTAATATTCTGTCCATAAATTATTGGCGCATAAGATGTAAAATTTACATCAGTTGAAGTATAAAGATCATAAAAGAAAAACGGTGATGTAGTAAACCCAAAACTACAAATATACTTTTTCAAATGTTCATCATTTTTCTGTAACAAATCAGTAAAATTTCCAATACTTTTTAGATCATCAAATACCAGTATCGAACTACCAACAGTTTCATTACATAATTCCTTTTCTGTGATTATAGCGATTGTATTTTCACACACAGTCTTATAAAAATCCGCCTTTCCTGCCATGTTATCTTCTACCACTAAAAATATTTTATCAATTTTTTTATATTTCTTACAAATAATGCTAATATAATATTTTAAAAAATTTAAAAATATCGTTGAATCTGGCAAGTAAAAAATAACATCTAATTCTAACGTCTTAAATAACAGTTCTAAATTAACATCAGAAGATAATTTTAAATCTGATTTTAAACGGTAAGTAATTTCATTTATTATTCTATTATTTTGCTTCATTAAGGGGCTAAATTTAAAAATAAATTATATTCAAGAAAAGACATCCTTTTCTGCTATTGAAAGCAGAAAATAATAATAAGTTTTCTTAATGATATTTACAAAAATTTAAAGCCTAAGTTTTTGCATTTTAAGACCCATCAATGAAAGATAATAAAGATTTAGATGATGAATACAGCATCTTAAACATTCATAAAACTTATGAAGATGCAGAATTGAATTGGAAAACATTTAACAATAAAACTAATACGACTTCAGATGAGGCTAAAAAAGAAACACAAAGCAAATTAAAAGATGTTACTTTTTTATCAGGTAACAAGTCACTTTCAAAGCTAAAAGAGAAGGTAAAAAGTATACAAAATAAAAAGAAAATTTTAGATACAGAAAATATTTCGTGCAAAAGATATAAGGAATGTTTAGCAAAAGAAGAAGACAAAGAAGTTAAGCTTGATAACTATATGAATACTAAGTCAGAAATAGACACGAATCTACATGAAAATATATTTCAAAAGGCAAAACAAGACACATTTGTGATAGAAGAAGTAGAACTAAGTGACTTTAAAGATAATGACCAAAGTTTTGAGGTAGAAAATAAAACAGCAAATAATAATTCATCTAACTACAAAAAAGATATCAAGAAAGGAAAATTTTTAGAAGACAACAACATTCTTAAAGATCGTCTTAGTAGAGTAGTCACACCAAGGGCGAACGTTAAGTTTAAAGATGTTATTTTACCGTTAGGTGTTGATGTAGATAAAAAAACACAAGAGAAAATTATAAAAAATTCTGTTGAAATAGAAAAAAATCCAAAATCTGATTTAGCTAATAATACAAATGATATACAAAATACTTATTCTAATATTACAAATACATTATCTACCAAGCAGGTGTCTATAAATAAAATAAAAAAAAGATTGAATAAAGAAATTAATAAGACAAAAGTACAAAATTCAGATAAAAATAACTCGGAAGAAAATGCCCAAGACAGTAATTTAATTTCTGAATTAAAATCTAAGATTGATAGTATACAAAAACTTAGGAAAAATGTAATCAATTTAGAAAATTTTATTGGGCTACAAAAAGTCGAAATTGAAATGATTAAATCTCAAAAATTGCCTGCGAATAATTCTGCACATTTAATTCAAAATTGTAAAAAAGCATTATCCTCGATGATTAACGATATAAAAATGCGAGAAACAGAATTAAAAAATGAAATAGTTATTGAAAAGCATAAAAATGCAGCTTTAACAAAAGAAGTTGACAATTTGAAGAAAATAATTGATAATTTAGTAAAAAAGCGACAAATTGATAATTAAAAGCTGAATAAATTATTTAATATTTGAATGAGTGACTTTTAACACAATTTTTTTGTAATATTTTAATATAATCTCTTTTAATTAATGGCGATTTGAAATGATGTTTTAATTTTTGTCTATTTTGAAAAACAAAAAAAATGTTTTACGAAAACTATAATTTTATCATCAGTTATAAAAAAATAATTTTTTATTAGACGTGAATGTTTATTTTATAAACATGTATTGTTATATTTTTACTTTCTGTAAACAATTTAGAACTAAACCAAGAGCTTATTAACAAGTTTATACCAACACCATTAAAAGATAGTTATTAAGATAAAATTATTGTTTTTAATAAAAGCTCATTTTATTTTTGCAAATAAAATCAATTACTTCAGTATTAACAAATTTTCTTAAAACCATTTTTAAACCCATATGAAAAAAATCAAAGAAGTAAAACTTAAAAAAGATAAATCTGATAGAAATACTATAGATAAAGTTCTAGATGCTAAGACATACAGCATTTTAAAAAAACTACTTGCTCGTAATAAACTTGTTGATCTGCAAGGCAGTATTTGCACTGGAAAAGAAGCTAATGTTTATTTAGGAAATGCAAGTACAGAAATTTATTCTAAATTTGTTAAAAATATTCACACATTAGATAATAACGGCGAAAATAAAAATATATTTTGTCCAAAAAAATTACAAAAACTTTTAGAATGCACAAATGTGAATGATGTAGATTTTGTTATAAAAGATTTTTTTAAAAAAAATGAAAATAATTACACATTAAGCAAAAGAAAATTAAGAAAAAAAAATAAGAAAGAAAAAAATGTTTTACTTACTAACGAAAATAAAATTAAATTAGAAAAAACTAATATTTCTTCTATTGAAAACAGTGTTGAAAATAAAAAAGACAATAATCAACTTGATTTATTATCAGATGATTTAACAAAAGAATGCAATATGGGCACGGATTACAGTAAATCAGAGATTGAAAATTGTACTAATTTAAAGTCTGATATTTCCTTTGAAAATATGATCCCTGTGGCTATTAAAATATACAAGACATCTGCTATGAATTTTAAAGATAGAGAAAGATATCTTGAAGGTGAAAAAAGGTTTAAAAATTTTTGTACAAAAAATAGTAGGAAACTGATAAAATTATGGGCAGAAAAAGAAGTTAGAAATTTAAAAAGACTTAATAAACATAATGTACCTTCGCCAATACCAATTTATCTAAAAAGAAATATTCTTATTATGAGTTTAATTGGGGGACCGGCAGAAAAGCTTAAAGATACATTTATTGATGATCCTATAGACTGTTATAACCAAGTTATTCAAATTATTAGTGATATGTACAACAAATGCAATCTGATACATGCAGACTTAAGTGAATATAATTTACTTTATCATAATAAAACTGTTTATGTTATAGACGTCGGTCAAAGTGTAGAAAGAGATCATATTAATGCTAACGAATTTCTAATTACGGATTTAATTAATATTAACAATTTTTTTTGTAAATTAAATATAAAAGTAAGGAACATAAATGAAATATTTGTTAAAATTACTAAAAATGAAATACCAGATTTTTTAAAAAGTTTTGATTTAACAAAAAATACATTTATTCCTTTAAAGTTAGATGATGTTAGTAATATTGAAGATGTTAAAATTTTTACTGATTTGACTGACAAGAGAATGAATACATGTAATGTACATGAAGAAGATCTTGAATTAAATAAAGTTTTATGTCTTGAAAATGACACTGAAGAGAGAAGTCATTTGAGCAAAAAAGATCGTAAAAAACTTGTGAAAGAGTTTAACAAAGAGCGTAGAGTATATAAAATTAGCAAAGTAGAAAAAAAAAGAATATTTAAGAAATACATAGGAAAAAAGAAAAAAAAATAAAGTATTTTAATTTTTTTTATATGTAGAAATTTTTATATTTAACTATTTTATTAAATTAACTTTTTACATGTTTTTCGAAAATTCATCTAGTTCTTTTATTGTTTTACTTTTTCCAAGAGTATATTTATAAAAATCGTAACAAGGTATACCAAGTGTATAAGTATCAAATTTTTTTGAATATCTTTGACTAAAATGTGTTAGCAAAAGAACCTTAGATTTAGATCTTAAAAATATATTATATGCATCATTAAGTGTAGAATGATTTGTTTTTATTGCTTTCTCCTCATTTTCGTTATCAAAGGTAGATTCATGTATAAGAATATCTGAATTACAAGCCATATCTGCAAATAAACATGATGGTCTAGTGTCACCTGAATATGAAATTTTGATATTTTTATATTCAATTGATACTGAACAAGAATCAAGATTATGTTTACAACCACAGATTGAAACAAAAACAAAATTATCTAATGTAAAGTGTAAAATGTAATTATCAATACTTTTTTTATCGACAGATTTGTAATAATTTTGTTCTAATTCTTTTGCGCTGTCCGTTGCAAAACATTTAATGTTTTCGTTAAATAGCGATACAAAATCTAAAATACATTGTGGAGCAAAAAGATTAACTTTATGTTTTATTTTACTCAATAAATTTACAAGGCCTAGGTTATGATCTCCATGTGAGTGACTAATAAAAATTGTACCGATTTTTTGTAAAACTTTATAAGATCCATTAAGCCTTAGCAGTTGATTTAAAGAATCTTCACCACAATCAAATAAAAAAACTTTGCTTTTTATCGAAACAAGTAAACAACTTACATTTCTATATTTTGATGGAATTGCACATCCTGAACCAAGAGTGAGTACAAACGAATCTTTGTCTGAGTACTGTAAAAAATTATTGTTACTATAATTTAATATTTTTCTTGGTTCTCTGTGCAAAACAAAATCTTTAACTTCTTTGTTATAAATAAAACAATCATTTGAATTAATAATTCTTGTAAATAAAAAAATGTGTTTCCATTTTGCGCGTTTATAAAAAGATTTACGACGGCTAATTTTTTTTCTAAACCTTGGAAGGCTAGGAAGTAAAAAATTTGATGAAATTTTGCTAAACTCTGAAAGTAAATTGTACTGCGAAATAAAGTCAATTGTTTTAGGATTATTTATATACCACAGATCTCTAAATTGATATCTTAAAAAGTCCTTTTTTTTAAAACAAATTACTTTATCTTCCTCGGTTGGAGTTAACGTATCATCAATTATAAGATAAATTTTTTTAAATTTAATATCAGGTTCCATATAATCATCACCGTTATAGACTTTATCATTTATTTGTACCTTTTTGCCAGCCACAAGATCTTTATACATAAATTTTGGTATACAACTAGGAACATTTTCGACACGAAAACGTCCTTTAAATTTTTTTATTTGTAAAATATATTTTTTTGATACAGAAATAAATTCATCATCGTAATTCAAATCATAAAATTGTATTTGTAATTTATTGGGTGGACAAAAAGTGTAAGCTTTTTTTATTAAAAGTTGTATTTTCGAGTTACAGACAATCTTTAAAATTTCAACATTCATGTCTCGAAGAGTTAAATACAATCCACAAAGAGGTGGAATACATTTTTTATCAGGTATGAAAATAGCACAAATATTTTTTAAATGAACTTTTGATTCTATACAGTATCTTTGAAATCCTTCAAACAAATTAAAAATATAAGATTTTGACTCAACTGTCAACACAACAGACTTTCCACTTTTTGTAGATAGAAATTTGATAGACGAATACATTGAAGGGCAGTATTTTACTAAATATTATGTTACAAATTATAATTTTTTTATGCCCTAAATGTTTGAACTAGAAATTTCGCATCAGCCTGTTCAAAAAAAAGAAGAAAGAAATGATTCTAAAAGCGTTAAAAAAATGCCACAAAATATTTCAAGCGATCAAGAAAATATGGAAGGCAACAAGTATAATGCAGATACCCATGCACCAGAAACTTTACAATATTCCGCATCTATTGATGACCATAAGATTGATAATACTGTTGTATTTCCTGGTGGTAAAATAGGTCTTCTTCGCAAAACATTTGAAAGTATTGCCGAAATTGTTGATCACGTTGAAATAAAAGCACGTTCAGAAGGATTAGAAATGCAAGTTATGGATTCAATACGTGTAGTTTTTATTGACATTTTTCTTAGCAAAAATTTATTTGATAAATATAGATGTGATAGGAATATTACATTTGCCATTAAAGTAAAAGATCTTATTACTATTCTAAAAGATCTAAATTTTCCACCCGATTCAAGTTTACATTTATCTTGTGATGATAATCCTGAATCGTTAATAATTTGTTATAAATATCCTCAGTATGTTTTAAATTGGGAATTAAGCTTGTATTCGTTTGATAACGAAGTGTTTGAACTACCTGAGTTTGAATTTCAAGCGGAAGTTACGATGTATGCTAAACAATTTATGGTTCTACCTAAGCTTATTGGAATATTTGGGGAGTTTATTACTATCGAAGCATCTAAGAATACTATTACATTTAAACAAAAAGGAGATACAACATCTTCTGCTATGAACTTACATGATAGTGAAGACAATGATATAGAAATTAATGTTTTGACAAATCAAAAAAAAGAAATGGCGATGAAATATATTGGGATTTGTGCTAAAGTAGCTGGTCTTTGTTCTAAGATCAAGTTACATATGGGAGATGATACACCTATTTTTTTCGATTTTAATTTATATGATTTAGGTCACATTAGGTACTATATTGCCCCAAAAACAGAAAGTGAATATTAAATTATTTAGTTAAGTATCTTATATGTAATTTTAATTATTAAACAAAACAAACATTCAGTAAAAAATCCAAATTTTTAATTAAAAAACAATAAATTAATCACACATGATTTCATACTGGTTTTTTAATCCCCATCCCTTTGGATACAAATCTTTCTCCATAATAACTCGCTTAATGCCCGCGACAAATCCATGGTCCATTATGGAAATTTCTGCACTACTTACAATAGCTTCTCCTAAACAAACAGCTTCCCCTTTAACAGAAATTATAACAACAACAGATCCAATATCAATTTTAGAATCATATTTAAGAACTCCAGTTATGCTTAATTTTGCACCGTAACATAAAGCATTAATAGCACTATCTTTAATCATAATTCTAGGATATCCTATTAAAATCTCTTCGAGAGGTCGTATAATTCGTCGCAAATATAACTCTTCTTTTTTAGTATCATAAACGTATTTAGCATCTTTAAGATCATGTAGTGTAAAACATTTATCTTCTTCAATTAAACCACTCCTTACTCTTCGTAATGCTGCCATACTAGCAGGACATCCCATAAGTAATCCGATGTGTACACATAGCGTTCTGATGTAAGTGCCCGCCTCGCACGATACCTTAAATAAAGCTTGTTTTTTTGTTTTTGAAACTTCCAAAACATCGATTTTATAAATATTTCTCAATCTAAGATCTCGTTTTACAGCACACATAAGCGGAGGTCGTTGATATAAAACTCCTGTTAATTTTTCAACCGCTTTATAAAACGACGTTTTACTTGGTTTATCTTCAAATTCAATTACACATACATATTCTTTCCCGAGTGTTTGTTGACTTTTAGTTAATCTTGTAGCTCTATTCAAACATATCGTAAGTACACCACTTACTTTCGGATCAAGTGTTCCACAATGACCTGTTTTGTCACACTCCAATATATTTTTAATCCAGGTGACCACTTCATGAGAGCTAGGATTTGAAGATTTATCAATGTGTATAATACCATATTTAAGATATTGATCCAAAGGCCTGTTATATGGCAAATGTCCGCACCCAAACGGCGTAAAGTTAGTACTTTTAGTGATCATTGAATCTACATTTTTCAAAAGCGGAGAAAAATGTTCTAATTCTTGTGTCATTACAGGGATAAAAAAATTTAAAAAAATGTTAAATAATTTATTTAATGCATAAATATTTTAGTCAGCAAACGAAATAGGTTTAAAAAAACACAATCCTTCGACAGAAGTAGTAATTACTAAATCTTCCTTAAAACAGACATCTTTATAATATTTTTGTCCTTGATGAACAAAAAGCAAATATTTTTCGTATTCCCAATCATCTTCAAGTGATGTATCAAAAATGCACAACTGTTCATCACTTGTACTGCAAAAAATATCCGAATCTTTCCATTTAATCATTGAAATACTAGATTTATGCCAAAAAATATCTATAATATTGCTAGGCATTCTAATGTCTACAATTTTTATCGTTCCATTATCATCTCCGTATGCAAATAGATTATCTTTGTTTGTGTCCACAGCATTAATTTCTGCGTTTTCTAATTTGTTAAAAATATTATCTTTAGATCTAATGTCCGTAACTTTTATCGTTTTATCAGTTGAAGCTGAAAAAAGAAGAGATCCCAAACGACTTATAGATTCAATCGATTTTGAATGAATTCTAAATGTATCTGAAATCTGTTCATTAAAAATAGATAAAAATCCACTATCATGTGCAAATATAGAAGTTTCATTTGCTGAATACAAACCATAATCGACTTTGTCATAAGAAAGTGATATGAGTTTATCCAAATTATCATTATAAATATCAAATGTTGTATCTGAAACACAATTAATATTAGTATTAGATCTAATTCTATTATATAAATATGGTGCTTGAACACTTTTATATTCAAAACCTTCATGTTCAAAGTTTTTCATATTAAACATTTTTAACTGTCCAGGTTCATTTTCTGGATTAGTTGCCACAAGTAGAAAATCAGTTTTGTATAAATCGACAGATTGAGATGGCCAGTCTAAATCGTAATAACTAAGAATCTTGTAAACTTCATCGTTACATTCCAACTCTTCATCATCAATAGTAGGAGTATATGTCACTGTTTCAACATTGTCCAAATTATTGATATCTTCGTCTGATAAGTCTTCAATATCTAACTTCTTGTTCATATGGGCACAAATTATTTAGTTTACAAAATGAAACTTAGATTAGTTTTAGTTGTTTTTTTAAAAATTATAATATTAATTGGTACTATAATAGTCAACAATGAACATTACTTCAAAATAAAAATTGCTTAGGTTTACAAAAATATTTTCACTAAACAAGACGTAAATATAATAACTAAGATTTAAAAATTGTTAAAATAAAACTTTCTAATAAATTATTTGTATTATAACTGTGTAGAAAAAAATATTATATATCTACATTTTGTTTGCTCTAAAGATTTTATACCTGTACTTGTCTGTAAAATAGAATTATTATTGAATACATACAATAATATTTAGTCTGTCAAACAAGCACAGCAAATTTGCAGCTTAAAATAAATTGATAACAATTAACCATCCATTCACTAAAAATTGTGTTATAAAATTACAAATGAAAAAAAGTAAAAATTTTAAACTTACTTTTTATTTTTTAAAAATTTCTAATATGTCATTTAACTCATCTTCAGTATATCTTTCTTCCACTTCTTCAATAACTAAAGCCAAGTCAATAATATGACTAGGGGAAATATTTATTAATTGTATAATTTCAAATTCTGTTAACTGTTTACTTTTTAAAGCATCATATATTTCAAGTTTATATGTATCACTTTTACAAAACTTTTTTACCAAATCAGTAAACTTTCCTGATTCATTTTTTAGTATTTGGCACATTTCTAAATTTGAATAAAATTTTATGTTTTTTTTAAGAATTTTCATTTTCAGGGTGCAAAAATTTATTATCTACCAGTATTCTAAATCTATCAAATTGTATCTCATTCTCTTGATGTTCAAAGATATATTTATTATCTACTATTATTTTAAAATTTTCTTGTTCTGTAAAATTGTAAATTATAAAATTATCGAAAATATAAATTTTTTTATCTAAAAAGTTATTAGTTAATCCGGTTTTAGTAATATCATAAATTGCAAGACCTTGGATACTTTCGTTGTACATATTAATTACCTCCTTTTTTTATTATCTTCTAATTTTAGATATTTTTCGATCAGAACATTTCTAAATATTATTAATTGATTATGCGTTAAATTAAATTTATATTTAAATAAACAAGATATTGTATGTACATAATGGATGTTTTTTGGGCTTTCACTTGTAATTACTACTTTAGTAGCATTAATTAGTCTATACAAATTATCATGTAATTTATTAATAAGTCCATCACAAATTATTTTATATTTTATTTTGACTTTATTGATTTTAAATATGATACTGTTACCGTCACAATATTCAGTAATCTCAAAGGGATACTTTAAGTTGTACACTTCATAGTGTACTAATTTCTCTTCATAAAATGGCCCATCAAATTCTCTAAATCGTAATATCCCTACATTATCAAGACATTGTACCCGTTTCACATAGTTAATGACAAGTTTACTATCATTTAAAGGACTGTACTCAATACAATTATCATAGTACTTACTTATTCTATATTCTAAAGGTACACGATAATTTTTAGTTAAAATAGTCTTATCACAAATTTTTATAAAATCAAATGCTGTGTCTATGTTAAGATTGATTATCTCGCCTCTGTAGACTGTCTTCATGTCTTTAACAAGGGAAAAATAATAAATATAAATCAGGAAAAACATACAAATATACAAGAGTTGAATTTAGCAAGTATTTTATTACATATCTTCAATATAAATATATTTGATTAAAAAATCACTACTTAAGTTTCAAGAATTTTTTGTTTGTAAGCTGTATCGCCTTTTAGAAATTTCTAATATGAGAACAAATTTTAACATTTTGCGTGTTATAAATTATAATTTATCTTACCATTTGTAAAATTATTAACGTTTAAATGTAATTTAAATAGACATTTGCCATATTAGTAATTTAATATTTTTATGTAAAATTGGAAATTTATAATTTTATAAGCTAAATAAGTACTTTAGCCACATACTAATATTTTTCTTAAAAACTCAATTTTCAAGATTATGCCAAAAATTTTAGTTAAAATTTAGAGGTATAAATTATTAATAAAAAATTTATTATTATTAGAATAGGTTTTTTGTAAATATGTCAAAAAGCTTGGTGTAAATTTATTCACACATAAAAATAAAAAAATTCGGTTTAAGATTAAGCTTCTTTATTATAAAAAATTTTAAAAACTAAATTTCATTTATTACTCATAGCAGTTTGATGGTAACAATAAAATGTTTTTATGACTTAAAATAATAAATGTATATTAAAAGACAAAGATTGCTTGAAAGAGGCTTGTATTGAATTTTAAAAATTTGTAACGCTTTGTTTAGTATTTACGAGACAGTTAAGTTTCATAAGCGTCTATTGCGCTTTATGCTACATTAGAATTTTTTTAGGATGTGTAAGTTAATTAGTATTATTATCATCTAAATTTTATACAAAACTCTTTTTAACATATATATGTAAAATAATATTAAAATATTTTTTGTAATGTAAAAAATTTACTAGCAACTATGTTTTATTTAATTGTATTAAAATATTGTTATAAGACGAACAATGATAACACTTATGTAATAAAAACAAAAAAATAATAAGTTTAAAAAATATTTAATCGCTCTTTTTTATGTTTAATTTGATATTGTTCATACAACCATGGCTGCACAAGTTCAATATTTGTTTTTTCTTTAGCTGAAACGGAAAAGCATGCAATTTCTATATCTATGTATGATTTTAAGCCTAAATGATAAATCATGTCATTAATATCCATAGCACGTCCTTTATCATTTTTTGTACCAAGTACCAGCATATTTTTCATTTTTCTACTATTTCTATGCAATAACTGTTTAAGTTCAAATTTACTCTTATCCCATTCTTCTTTCTTTTCGCTGAGATCTACACAGTAAATTAAAACGTCACATTTTCTGTATAAACAATCCCACAATTTTCTATACTTATGGTCACCCTTAACATCATAAACACTATACGTAACTCCATTATACAGATATTCTAATGTATTAACTCCTTTACTTTGTTTTATTTCTGCATCTCGAAAAACTGAATTTATTATAGAAGACTTAGATGACCCTTTGAGTCCAAGGACGCATATCTTAAATTTGGTAATAAAAATTTTATTATAAAACTGAGAACACAACGTTCTAAGCTTTGTGCAAATATTCATATGTGATTTTTTTGCAAAAAAATTTAAATGTATTAATTGATTAAGTAAATTAATTGGTACAAAAACTAAACAATATAAATTGATTGATGTATTATTAAAACTAATTATATTGTTTTTATAAACTAGGACGGGGACGGTTTTTCTTTAAATATTTGATTAAATTTTTATCTTTAAAATGTTAAAAGTAATTATTTTTTTACTATTAGAAAATTATTAAAATTTTCTTTCGTGGTAACATATTAAAAAGTAAAAAATTTATAAGTTTGCTTGTAAAAATAAATTTAACTTATATTTATTAGTGTATATTTAAGGTCTTTATTTTCTAAAAATATTTTTTGAGCTATTTTCTATATATTTACAGATTAAAATTATTTTTTAGAATATGTACTAATTTTCTAGTTTACAATTATTAGTATTATATTGTTTATATATTTTAATATAATGTCATTAATAAAGCCTTAAAAGTTAAAATTACTAATAATTTTAACGCTTATTTTAAATTAAAAAACTTTGACATAAAATTTTTAATATGTAAAATGCGTATATAAACATTATTTTTATGTTTACATTTTTAATTTTTAAGCTTATTTATTGTATATTGCATTTAATAATATTGTTGTTTAATCAATATTCAAAAATGATTTTTCTATAATTATAAATATATAACTAGCTTTAAAAGATTACCAGAGTTGTTAATTTAATATTCTCTTTTATCGAGAGAAAATTCATAAAACAAATTTTAAAAGTTAATTTTTTAGGTTTAAAACAATGTAAAAATTGATTTAATTTTTAATTTTTTAGACACAGTAAAACTAATAAATTTTCATTTTGGCTGTAAAAATTTCAAATTTGTTGACTTTGAAAGCTTGGCAGAAGCATAACTGTAAATATAATTACTTTTTTACTATTAATGTTTTTTACTTATATATTTTATATTAAGATAAAATTGCGATATGATTTTCGTTTAATTCTATCAATCAAATAAACAATATTATTTTAAGCCTAATCACGATTGATTTTATGAAAATATCAATCTTTTTTAATTAGAATTATTAAAACTCAATTTGTTTGTTTTAGCAAACAAACTAATTTTCTTAAACTATTTAATAAAAAAAATTACCGTTTTTTATGCATAAAGTTACATTGTGTTTAACATTTTTCGAATTTCTTTATTGTCATAAATTGTATCAGAACAGAGAAAGTAACAGCATTAAAAACAAATCGTATTTTCGCTGCCAAAAAAGGTTTCCAGAGGAAGCCTATCACTACAATGAAGAGAATATTTCGCAAAGATTTTTTAAAATATTTGTAAAAAAGACTTATAACGCTTTTAGAAATGAACTTAGAAATACTGATTATACATTATTTAAAAATATACTATTAGATATTTGGAGAATTATAGGTTATAATGATACAAATAAGTTGGCTTTATTTGTTTCATCTAGTCTTCATAATACATCTTTCTATAAAATCTTTGAAGCAAATGAAGATGATATGTATAGATCTAGGGGACTATTAATGATAAAAGGAGTAAATAATTATAAACTTCTAACATATTTATCATTGCTAAAAAGTAATGATTATGTAAGAAATCCAGAACTTCTATCCATTCCTGACTTTTATTCTATCTACGATACTATTGAATTCTGGGAAGTCAAATTAAAGAATAATTATACGTTTGAAAATATGATGATTTCATTACATATTCAAAGTTGGATTGATAATAAAAGCAACCAGGATATAATAAATTGGAGAAATATGTACAAAAAGTTAAAATGTGTGTATAGAGGAAAATAAAAGTAATTCTTATTATAAAACATAAGCTTATATTATTTTTTTTGTTCATATCTTTATTACAAGTCACTTAACAAAAAGCTTATTCTTAGCAATTTGTACTTATTACTAGTTTAAAATATTATTTATTAAAGGTGTTATTAAACATTTGAATTTCTAAATTTATTTATAGGCAGTGAAAAAAATTGAAGTTTAAAAAAAGATTTTTATTTTTTTTGCAATTAATTACTTTAAGTAATTTAAAGAATTAGTATACAAATCCCAAGTAAATATACACGACTTTTTTATTTAAAAAGTTCATATCTTTGATTAAATCAAAAAACAATATATTTAACAGAAATGACTTTTGAATCTATAAATTTACATAAATATTGATTAAAAGTAATAATTTATAATGTATGTAAAATATTTTAGATAAAAAAAATGTAAATGGACAAAATTTATGCATTTATTTTTAAAAAAATATAAAGATTTTATAAATTTTTTCAACACATTTTTTTTGTGATTAGAAAAAAGTGGCATTAGTAAGTATAGAATTAAATAAATTATTTTAATAAAAAAACTGTATTAAATAATTAAATATATTTAAAAGGCTACAAAATTGATGTATTTATTTTGTTATAAAGCTAATGCTTTTAATTTTTCCATAACTAGATTTTAAATACTTTAACGCCTAGTATACACTTTGTTGCTTATGATAAATAGTATAAAAAAGCATGTTTATACTTTATTTTTAATGATAAAAAATAGTATAACGATAATTTTTAATTTTATAATTATTCAAGTTCATATTTAATTTATATTTTCAATACTGTTTAACCTTTTTGCAATTAATGCTGTGCTATAGTTATAATTTACATTAAATCTTCAAATATTTTCTTCATCCAGTACCCCAATTATTTTAATTAATTTAGAATAAAAACTTAAACATTTCAAATCAGTAAATTTCTGTTTTTACTTTATTGTAAAAATTTACTAATTTTGGTAATTTTATTTTCTGATATATTTGTCTTATTTTTGCCTAATTAAAATAAACTATAAATTTTTATTATTTTCATTACCCATGCCATTTTATAAAAAAAAATTTGAAGCAGTAAAATCAAGACAAAGTACGTGTTCGTTTATTGAAACAGAAGATGCAATCACAAAAGTCAGAACTGTTTTTCAGGATGCATTATGTTCTAATTTAAATCTAAGACGTGTATCTGCACCATTGATGGTACAATCGTCATCAGGCTTTAACGATGATTTAAACGGAATTGAACGAAAAGTACAAGTTGATCTTAAGTCAGGGCCATCAGTTACTATTGTTCAATCACTTGCTAAGTGGAAGAGATATGCTCTTCAGAAATATAACTTTAGTGTTTACAGTGGGTTATACACAAACATGAATGCTTTACGTATTGACGAAGACTTATCTAACATTCATTCTTACTACGTAGATCAGTGGGACTGGGAAAGAGTGATAAAAGAGGATGATAGAAATATTAACTTTTTGAAAGAAAATGCTTTAAAGATATATAAAAGTCTTAAAGAGACAGATGCAGTAATAAGAAAAGATTATCCCGATTTATTACAAAAATTTCCAGAAGATATTCATTTTGTTTTTACGCAAGAATTGGAAGATAAATATCCTAATTTGAGTGCTGTAGAAAGGGAATATGAATGTGTGAAGGAATACAAAGCGGTTTTTTTGATGAAAATAGGCGGAAAGCTTAAATCTGGGTGCAAACACGATGGAAGGGCACCTGATTATGATGACTGGGAATTAAATGGGGACTTGATAATGTATAATGAACTTCTTGATATTCCTTTTGAAATATCATCCATGGGAATTCGTGTTGATAAAAAATCTTTATTAAAGCAACTTGAAGAATCGAATGCACTAGATCGTGTCAATTTGAAATTTCACTCTATGCTTATAAATGGCAAATTGCCTTTTACAATTGGAGGAGGTATTGGACAATCAAGGGTATGCATGTTTTTACTTGATAAGCTACATATCGGCGAGGTCCAGGTTTCGGAATGGGATGAACAGACAAAACAATATTGCACTAAAAGAAACATATCACTTTTGTAATAAAGTAGGTTTATTTTAAATTTTTATTTATTTCATCTCCAAAATAAGGTGAAATATCAAATACTCTAAATTTTGAACATTTTAAATGCGTATTAATAAGTTCACAGACTTTTACAAACCCGATCTCTGTAAATCTAGACAGTAGTTCTTCTAAATAAGCATCAAATTCATTATTTAAAGATTTATAAATTAGCTCTCCTGAACAATATAAACATTTTAGAAAATATCCTTCAAATTTCACTTTACAATCAATACATTCAAAAGGCGTTGAATACAGCCTTTCTATTTCTAAACCTATACTTTTTTTAACTATTTTTATATAAAAATTTTCTTCAATTTTTAAATTACATTTAACACAATAATGTGCAGGAAATTGTTGATTATTACAACATTCTGTTTTAAATTGGCATAACTTAGGAACGGCTTTTTTATTATATTTTACTTTAAAAATATCATAAATTTTCTCTAAATTAATATTGGAAGATAAAGCCAAAGATCGCATTAAAGGTGGCATTATTTGATTTTGTACATAATAATCGTAATCTATATTACATTTTTCTGTTAGTAAAAATGCTCTATTATAAAAATCTGTCTCATTTTCGGTTTTCCCTATTACATAAGATACAACATCACCTACTTTATAATGTATACCTTTTGTTTTTAGTCTATTACAAAGGTGTACAAAAGGAAGAGGCGCATTACTAGCATATTGACTTAGAGGCTTATTTAAAGTATTATTGATAACAAAGTCTTCAACATTCCTATTTATCAAATTATTATATTCTTCTTTTAGTAAACTATAAATATTTTTATTGTCACTATCTAACAATATTTTATTTACTTTATACAGAATGTCAGAAGCAGCAGGACAAAAGTTCCTTTTAAGCGCTTCTATTCCCTTATATTCCTCATGTAATACGCTATTCGAATCTAAATATCGTCCGATGTACCTCTTTTTTGCATACAAAAAAAGTTTCGTAAATATTTTTTCCAATTCTATTTCAATATTTTTGTATTTTAAATTAATCTTTTCACTAATTTCTTGTGATATCTCTTTAGCCTTAATAATATTTTCTTCATTATGTATCAATCCTGTATCAATCATAATAGAATCTGTATCTCCATAAATAACTTTATAATTTAATTCATTTTCTATTGTTTTCTTAGTATCTCGCAATATTTCCCTACCTTTTTCTGTTATAAAGGCTGCCATTTTGTAATTACAGAATCTACTCTTAGGATATCCTAGTGACCCGTATATACTATTTGCTAATATTTTTAAAGCCATTTGTCGTATATAATAAATTTTATTATCCTTATCATTATTCATAAGTTTTTTTACTTCCTTTCTTCTTTGTACCAAGTTTGCAAGTATTTTCGGTAAGACACCTTTTTCTGATGAATTAAAATCTGGATTAGAAAAACATACATTATATTCTTGTATTATAGAAGGATATAAAGAGTTAAAATCCAATAAAAGAACAAGATTGTCATAGTATCCCTTCACTGGTTCAAAAACCTTTCCTCCTTCATATTTTTCTACACTAACATTAACTTCTGGTGGTAAAAGATACTTTTTATCGTAAAGTTCGTGAAATAGTGTGTATTCAATTATCTCTGCTCTATTGTTATTTAAAACTTTATTAATTGTATATCCAGATAATTCTGATAATTCTTTTGACAGTATTAAAACATCAGATTTTATAAATAGATCAAACAGAGTTTTAGATAAAATTATTGGATTAGTAATATCGGTACAAGTAATCTTAAAATATTCGCATAGCTCTTTAATTGAATATTCTCTTAATTTTAGGTTTGCCGTGGCATATAAAAACATATCACAAATAATATATTTTTGTAAATTATTCAATAAATTACCTAAATTATTAAAAAAGACTACAACATCTATTTCTTCATCAGCAAAAATTTCTAAAATTCTAGTATTTAAATTTTGTAAATTACTAAAAATCTCAATTTTGTGTTTATGCATAATAAAATTTTCATGTCCTTTAAAAGCTCCTACAAAATATTTACATCCATTTATGCAAATAGAATAATAACAAATATCATAATTTTGTAATTTAACATTAATTGATGCAATATTTAATTTTGGCATATTGGTTTTTATTACAGATTCTATATCATCAAATTTAATGTATGTCTTGTTTGTTTTAATTTTTAAAACACAAGGAGATTTTATGTTTTTCGAAATTAATGCTGCTTCTATTGGATTTGTAAATTCATGCATTATTTTTAAACAAAAGTCACTTTTAAAATTTTCGATTTTTTTGTAAGTTTCTGGTGCAAATCTTATGACATCAATTTCTTTATAAAATTTATCATAAAAAATATTCTTAAGATGTGTTATTTCTTTATGCTTAAGTTTGTTAAAATATTTAATAATATCATCCTCTAAATGTTGAATGGTCTTTTTTCCATTATAAATTGCTAGTAATGGTGATATAACATCATCTACTGTTATTTTTATTTTTTTTGTCTGGCATTTTTCAATATTGTCTAAATCTTTGATATTTTCTGTTTCTATTTTTCTTCCATATAAATACAATGTGTCTGGGAGAAAAGCTTGTAGATGATAGCAGTAAAAATACATTTAAGGGTATAGTCATTTACTATTTCTTAAAAGTATAAAATTCTTGTAATTGTAATTTACTAAATGTAATTATTTAAATTTATTAAGATTAATGCTAAATAAACAATTTATAAAAAATTATTTGTATGCATAAATATTTATTTTAATGTTTAACATGTTGTTTAATACGTATAATGAATAAATATAGTTTATTAAATGTATAAATAACTTTTTAAACTGTGAAAAGATGTTTTTACTTAATGGTGTATATGTCTTTAAATTAAAAAGAAGTTGATTTTTTTTATTCTTCTATTTTTTGTAAAAGTCATATATGAAGATTTAATATCTTTTTTTTCATCTATCTCTGACTCTAGAAATCTTAACTATAGATAGATGCAAAGTAAACCTAACATTGGAGAAGGCGTAATATTCAAAAAAACGTACAACACAAAGAGGTTGAGCCAATCTGTAAGAAAATACTTATTTTAGAATTAAGGACTTTACAATAATTTTAAAAAAAATTATTAAATTTGCTATTTATATTTAAAAATCTTTTATTGAAACCCAAAATGTTTTATTTACTAATTTTATGCAGATGTATTTCAGATACACTAAAAAATTTAGTCTCTTTGTTACAGGACGATACTATTGCAGTAAAAACTTTAGATACTATAAGCAATACACAGATAGAACATTTAATCTTTATTATTGATAACACACAACAATTAAAAAAAAGAAACGTTATTATGTATTTGTACGATGACAAGGTAGCAATTAAAATTATTGATTCTAGTGAAACTACAAAAAAAATTAAAAAATGCACTATAAGCCAGAACGTATACAATTTTGAAAATTTTACTGAATCAATGGCAGGTGATTTTGCTACGTTTTTTAAGATTCAAGTTTCAAGCCAAATAGATTTTGAAGATTATGACTTATTTATTGATGTATGTCCAAAAAATAATGAATTCTCAAAATTAGATAAAATACAAAAGATTGAAATTTTAATAATTCGATCTATATGCCTATCTAAACACATAATGATTCGACCTATAAATATGTTTATAAAATTATATTATAATGATAAGTTATGGTTTGTAAATTTTTACAAGCAATATATTAACAGTAAAACTTTTGTTTATTTAATGGATCCAAAATCTGATTTTATTAATAATTTGTTGTGTCAGAGAAATGGTGCTGATTGTGTAGATAGTCTACAAGATATTAATCAACAGGAAGATATATTTATTTTAAATATAATTAAAGAAATGAGAAATGATTTTGAAGTATGTAAATTAAATTTTGATATTTTATTTAATTCGGAAATTAAATTTAATATAAAAAATTATCCTGTTATTTCATATAGTGTATATATAAATATTATATACTCATTACAACAGATTACTAAAAGAAATGATCTCAAAAAACTAAAAAATATATTAAATATTAATTTAGAAGATATTTTAGAGTATAATTATCTTAAATTTAATATAACTAAATATAAATTAAAAGATGCATTTGAAGTTCTAAAAGATATGAACTCTAAAATGTTACTATTGAGAAATGCTTATTTTATCGATCTAGATGACGTATCAAGATATTTAATCGGTCAAATTAGTCGAGAATTAGAGGACAAATATAACTTTTGCCTTTTTTATGCTTTTTCTCATGGCAAAAAAACAAGGAAGAAATTGCGCAACGATTTTTATAATACTATTATGCAAATATTTATATCTCTGCGTGCAAAAATAAATTTATGTTTTTACATTTTAAACGAAAAACATAATGCAGCTTCTTATGAATATTTTAGTGAAGCTATATCTAGACTAGAACTTCGTTCGTATAGTTTAAGTAATTTAAAAAGAGATTTTGATATTTTAAAAGATGCACAAGCTTCTTTTTTATGTAAAGACACTGAAAGATATTTGTATAGTGAGGAAATATTAAATTTTCTGGCTTTATATTCTGATTTCGAATAAATTATAATTTGTAAAAAGTGTTATGTCTGAAAAGATTGTTAATTGAAAACATAGGTTTATTTTTTTTTTGTGTTTAAGGATGGGAAAATGCACAGCAGACCATCCACAAAATTCAAAGATTAATTTATTATTTAAATTATATAAAACTAACATGTCAAATCAACCATACTTAATCTTACAATTAGATATTTTATATCCTCCCAACGAAAAGTTTTTCATTTTTAAATATGCTGTAAAACAATAAATATACCATTTTATTTTTATATAATAACTGGTTTTTTATCTTTTACTGATATCTGTAAGGTTTTTAATTCTTTTATTTTCTACCCTTTATGGAGTTGACTCTTCTTAAAAATCAAGAATATCGTGTAGAAGTCAATGATACGCAAAAATTTAAAGTTATGGTGATGTCTGGATCGGCAGAAATTAAAGGTCAAGAACTTATTAATGAAAAATGGTACACTATAAAAAATACTAAAACCGTGATTTTTACATACACAGGTTGTAAACTAAAAATTGATGGAACATGTGATTTACAATTTATTTCTAATAATACTAATGTACCGGATATACTGAAATTGTTTACTTCACTTATTAATAAGGAATGTAACGATAAGACTTTCATGGTTGTCGGTAAGGGACGAACGACTTTTTGTACGACAATTATAAACTATTTTATACGATTACATAAAAAAGTTTTGTTTACAGAGATTGACTTAAAAAAAGGGAACATTTTTCCTGGTAGTCTCTCAACTATCCATGTAGATACGCTTGTAGAATATAACGAACATTTTAAATTATCCAATGTTCTCTCTTTTTACTATGGTAGTACAGAAATAAAGAATAAAGATCTGTATACGCTACTATTGTCTCGGCTTAAAGAAGCTATAGATAAAAAAAAAGTAGATGATTTACATCTTATTTTATGTCCAGAAGAAACTAGTAAATATTATCAGGAAATAGTAAAAATGTTTAATGTAGATAAATTAATTTGTGTGGGTGATGAAAGAAAATTTCATATGATAGATGTGCCTATCAATAAAATGTTTATACCTTTAAGTGGATATATAAATGATAGCTCAGTAGATAAAAGTATCACTAGGTATTTTAATGGATTAAACAACGAATATACGCCTTATTCATTTTGTGTCAAAAGGAAATGGAACGTTGTGCGCGTAGGAGAAGAATGTTTAGCGCCAGAAAGTGCTCTTCCTTTGGGAGGGACAAGAAAATTGGATATATTGGAAATCAAAGATGTTAAATTAGAAAATAACTGTGTATTAGGAATTTCTGATGCAAAAACTTCTGAAGAGATTATTAAAAGTCCTGTTTTAGGCTATTGTGTTGTAATAAATCAAGATATTTTTAAAATACTCTGTACACAGACAAAATTACCTAAATGTAGTTATTTTATTCAAGGAGAAATAAAATATTCTGATTTCTAATAAATTGATTTATTCTCTTAATAAAGTGGCAGTATTTTTCTACATAAAGGACAGTTCGTTTTTCTATATTCTTCAATCCATTTTTTAACACACTTTGTATGATATTTATTCTCACAGTGTAAACAAACATAATTTGGAAAAGATCCGTCTTGTAAGTGTAAAATAAAATAGCAGATATAACATTCTTTGCCTCCTAAAACCTTTTGATCAACGTTTACCTTCCATAAACTTATTACTTCCATAAACTTAGAAGTGCGATTTAACATTTCTGATATTTTAAGATTCAATAAACTTTTTTTTTCTACATTAGTAAGAAATATAGGACTTTGTAATGGATATGCCGTAGGATAAAAAATTTCACACTGAAAATTATTATTATCCAATAAATAATTTATAATAATTTGTAATCCGCTGCTTTTTTTTATAACTTTACATTCTACATCTTTAATAAATTTTTTTGTTTCAGCAATCAATAAATCTGATATATTAACTTGTACATTTTTTGTAGATTTTTTTTTATTTAATTTATTATACTTTATAAATAAATTCGGAAAGAGAAAAATCCACTTCTTTCTATAAGAAATTGATGATTCAACAAAAAGTGTATTAAAATCTAATGCGTGCCGTTTCGCCAATATTTTACCGAAAAAAAATTGTATATTCAAGTTTCTAATCTTCATTAAAGTATCTGGTAATAAAATTTTATATAAATCCATTCTTTTAGGTATACAAGATATCAGAAAATTATACAATTCATCATCGGAAATTACTTCGTCAACCTGAGAAATACTAAAGTTGTTAATAATTGTATTAGCAAAATGATTTGTTATAAGATCAAATAAAGGTAAAAAACATTTTAAACGATCAGAAGATGTTAAAAGTGGAATATCATTTTCAATATAATCTAAACATGCGTAAACATCAAAATTGTTTTTTAAATTCTCAATAAACATTACTAGCGCTTTATCGGATAAAACTGAAGTGTCTTTTACAGCTAGTTTTTTCCCTCTTAATATTTTCTGATCGATAACTTTAGGATTATTAAGTGTTACTTCATAAATAGATTGAATAACTTTAGACATTTGACTACTATCAGATGCGCAAATGTTGTTTTCTTTCATATTTAATAATGTGTGGTCATTAGAAAGTTTTAAACTATCGATCGACAAATCATCATTAAAAGATTTATTTTTATCGTTTTCATGAGAATTTGAAATATATACAATGTCTATCTCTTCTTCTAAAAGATCAATAAGCTTATTATTTCTATTAAAAGGTTCTTTGTAATTAACATTTAAGTCTTTATAGACTTTATACAAAAAATAATTGTTCTCTTTTAAGTCAATATGTTTGACTTCTTTTATATAAACTGTACTACTGGATTCATTTAAAATGGCGTTACAGACCAAATATATCAATTTGTCAACATCAGATTTCATATATTGTTTATAAAAATCTCTAATAAATCTTATTTTTGTATTTTTAGGTCTAATTAATTGTATATCCTTGTAAAAATGAGGAATATCACAATAATATAAATCATTATATTCAACAGTTATTAAAATTTGGTATGTTCCAAGAGTTTTGATAATTTCATTACTAAATTCATTTAAATCAAAAATATCCATTTCTACAATATTATAAATACAATCTAAATATAAGTTACATAATTCATTGTAATTAATATATCTTATAAAATCAATCATTCCATAATAATAGAATAAAAGATCATAGTCTTGCAATGCAATATTTCTGTATGATTCTATTGTTAAATTTTTAACATTTTGTTTTAAAAGCCACTTTTTAACTGCTTGTGTAAATTTTTTGATTTTCAAAAAATCTGTAAAGTTGTCTACTGTTAGAACTTTTTTTAAATCTTTATCTGTATAATCATCAGGATACTTTTTAATTAATAAAGGTAAAAATTCAATATCTTGCAAATCTTCTTTATCAAATACATAGGGAGACAATTTCAAATTTAAAATTGTTTCTTTTTTGAAAAATTGTCTGTTTAAAACTAAATTAAGTTGATAAGCCCTCTCAATTTTATCAATATCATTTAAATCAATAATTGTATCAACTAAATTTTTATAAATAAACAAAGAGGACTTTTTACAATCACAAACTGTTATTAAAGTAGAATGACTAGACTTATTAATGCCTTTAAAAATTTTAAAATTATTAATGTATTCTTCTAAATCTTTAAATTCATCATTAGTTAAATTGTGACTTTGAATGACATTTTCAAGAATATGCTTTGATTCACTAAAATTGTTATCAATATCTTTAAAATCGTCTACAATATTATATACACAGAGATTATCAAAATTTAATCTTTTATAATTAAGCTTAAAAAAAGTCAATTTACAAGGACAGAATCTCAGAAGTATTTTAAAACTTTCTATATTTTTTGGCTTTAATTTATCAAAGTCAAATTGAATTTTGTCTGCCTGGCATTTTTCTAGAACCTCTTCTAAAATTGAATTTTCTAAAAATTCAATATCTCTATTTATGCACTTCGACAGTTTTTTGTAAATTTTAAGCAAAATTATTGACTTTGTTTGTATTAAAACAGGTGTGATAATTTGATCAATTTTTTTATAAACATCTTCTATCGGCCCTATGTATTCTAAAACAATGTAAATATACTTGAGAATCACATTAGAATTATACTGCAAATAATCTAACTTAGTCAGAAAGTATTTATGATATTCATTAAGTTTGTTATCTTTATTTCTTTTTAGTGCCATAATAAATATTTTTAAACTAATTGTCAAATTATTTTCCCAATCCAATATATTTAAAATGCTTGGAATAATTTTATTAAAATTAAAATGTTCCTTGCAAATAATAACATCAGAGTTGTATGTTTGATCCTCTACAAATTTTAAAAACCAGACAGCCAATACATTTTCTAAATTATCATCTTTATGTTTGATAATTTTCAATAAAAGATCTGAACATAATCTTCTGACGTGAATGTTTGTTGACCTAAAATGTTTAAGCAATGCATCTTTAATCATTACACAGTCAAATATTTCCTCATCGTCTTCCATGTTAATCAGTTCATTTAATCCTTCTACCACTTTTTTATCAGATGATTTATTTATCTTACTGATACTGTCATACAACTTAGAGTTAAAATGTTTTGATGGGTTAAATGGATTCATAAGGGTAAAAAAGTTTTAAAAAAATAAAAACTTTTTCTGTTTGTTAAATAATTAAATTTAATTATTTTTACATAAAATGCCTGTTATCAGATATTTTTTATTTTTTAAAAAGTAATGAACAACAAATTTTTAAAATATGTTAGACAACTATATGTTTATTAATTAATTTATATTTTATAGTAAAGATATTATACAGTAGTTTTAAAGTACTCATCAATTTCTATAGGGTCAATTACAACAAAATTTTTTTCTAAAAATTTAAAAAACTTGCTAAATAATTCTGATCTTTTAAAATTTTGCGAATTTCCTACAACCACAAGTCCCCTTTTGCTTCGAGTTATTGCGACATTTAAACGTTTGTAATCATCTAAAAAACCATAATCTCCAGATTCGTTACTTCGTACAAGTGATAAAATTATGAAATCTTTCTCTCTGCCTTGAAATCCATCCACAGTGTTTATCTCAACATTTTCATCAAAAAGTGATTTTAGTAAAATTGCTTGAGAAGAATACGGAGTGATAATTCCGATAGTTAATTTTAACATTTTTAAATATTTTACAACTTTACATATCATTTTAGCCTCTCCTTCATTTTTTTTCGAAAATTCGTCTTCAGTTTCATTAAAATCACTGCAATCAGTATCAATAAAAACTATAGGACTTTTATTTATAAGATCAATAGATTCTATTTTATGACTTTTTATGTTATTATCATAAAACATTTCATTCGAAAAACATATCAAATTTTTACACATTCTATATTGCAAATTTAATAAAAATGTCTTTAACGATAACTTTTCGAACAGAGAAGTCGATTTTGGACATAACTGATTTGGATCACCAATTAAAATAAAATTTTTACCTTTTATTAGTGTAAGAAAAGTTTCTACATCTGATGCTTGACAAGCTTCATCTATAATAACCCAATCAAAAGAAGAGTTTTCTTTAAGAGCTGAAAAAAGAGTAGAAAAAACTATTTTTGATTCTTCAATTAAGTTAAGCTTGTATGATTTTTTGATTTTTTCAATATTTTTTTTAAAGTTTCGCTCATTTTTTTCTTTCTTGATAAAAGACGTCATTTGTGAAATTTGATTTTCTAAATTAAACTTTGTAAGACCTTTAAACGAACTTCCTAATCTATAAAATATAGGTGTATGGTAGATATAATACTTTGATAAAAGAAATTTTTCAATAATGTTGTCTATAGATACATTACTAGGTCCAGCTACTAAAACTTTCTGACCTTTGTTAAGGAGTTGTAAAATAATTTCAACAATTGTTCTGGTTTTACCGGTACCCGGCGGTCCTAAAATTTTATACGATTTATTGTAAAATACTTCCAACACAGCTAGTTTTTGACAATCATTAAGAGAATAATCAAAAAAGTCAAAGATTTTAAGACAAGTCCCAGACGCATAATTAATTGGTAGTGTTTTTTCGTAATTCATGATTTTGTTAATGTTTTTCGCTATTTTACAAATAATATCATCATCTAGTAATTGTAAATTTATTTCTAAATCAAGGTTTTTTGTGTTTTTATTCATTGATTTTTCATAAAAAAATTCTAGCAGCTCTTTAAATGTCAAAATATTAATTTTATACAACATTTCAATTCTTTCTTTTATATTTTGCATCCAGCTGTCTAATATACTAACTGGAGCCTTTTTATTTAGTTTAATAAAATTCTCTAATTTCTTTAAAATAAAATTATTATTTAAATTTGTGATTCTGCTAAGAGAATATTCACCTAAATTTATTGCTCTATGTAATTCTAATATTACTTCATCTTTATCTACAGATAAAACTGTTCCCAGAATACTAAAATTTCCTGAAGCAATTTCAAGTTTTTCCTCTATTTTTAATGTGTTTTGTAATTTTCCTTTAGTAGTAGAAAATCGAATCTGAAAAGTTGTTACATAAATTTCATGAGTCTTCACCTGTTTAGTGCACTTTGAATTATAAGAAATTTTTGGTGACTTGTGTTCTTCCTCTTGTATATCCCTTTCCAAATTTATTTTTAAATATTTAAGAAACAAAACATCCATTAAAAGGCATAAAATTTTTTAGTTAAATTTTGTTATGAGAGCGGTTGCATAAAAATTAAAGCTTTTTTTAAGAGTCAAATAGTTTTATAATGTAAATAATTACTTTATAAAGTTATTTTTAGTTAAAGAAAATACATACTTTAGGATGTATTAATGGAACATTAGTTATAAATGAATACTTGGCATGTAATATATTCGGAATGTCAATATTTAAATAATTATAATAAAACAAATCCATGTTTAATCTCAACACAATAAATGTATTTTAAACGCAAATGTTATATAGCTTTACTTTTTACTTGCTATTTTAAATATTTCTAACTGTAAATAATTGTTTTTTTAACCGTCATTATGGAAGATAAGAAAAAAGAAAAACATTTAAATTCGAAGAAGATGTTAGCAAAGATAAAATATGAAGAAAATAAAATTAAACTACCTATAAAAAATATGTGTTATAAAAACGATCCTCCTGCTTTTGTAACAGTTGTTGGTTCCAAGGACAGCGGGAAATCTTCAGTTATTAAATCATTAGTAAAAAAGTTTACCAAGCAGTCCTTAGAGCAAGTAACAGGGCCAATAACTTTGACAGTTTCTAGAGAAAAGCGTATTACTCTTTTTGAATGTAAAGATGATATACATCAATATGTAGATACCTCTAAAGTTTCGGATATGGTTATATTCGTTATTAATGCCACAGTAGGACTTGAATGTGAAACTTTAGAATATCTAAGCCTTCTGTTGTCCAATGGACTTCCAAAGATTGTTTTTGTAGTCACACACACAGACAGGAATAATGACAAGAAGTTATTTAAGAAAATAAAAAAACAGATTTATGATGAGGTATGTGACGGCTTGAAGTTTTTTTATTTAGGAATGTGTGACGGAAAATACAATGATAGCGAAATTTTAAACTTATCGAGAGTTATTATTAGCATGAAATACAGACCTCTTGAATGGAAATGTAGCCACCCACATATTGTTATCGATAAAATTGATGACTTTAATATTTACGGTTATATAAGAGGATCTCCTATTAGTAAAGGGGTTGATGTTCATATACCAGGATTTTGTGATACAAAAATTAAAAGTTTTGAAATTTTAGAGGATCCTGTTCCTTTGAAACAAGAGGAAAGATTATCATCTAAAAAGGTGTTTTTATATGCACCAATGAGTCATATAGAAAATACTGACATTGAAATTATTTTAGAAAAATCTCAAGATGTTGAAATAAAACAAGTTGAAGAAATTAAATTATTTAAAAAATTTAAGAATAATTTGCAAAATGAAAAGGCTGATGATAGTATTTGTTATGAACCTGATATCCAAATATGTGACGAAAATATAGAAGAAGAGGTGAATAACAACAAAGCAAATATTATTTCAGAATCATCTGATGATGAACAAGATTTTGAAAGTATAAAACAGCAAGTTAAAGAACGTTTTAGAAAAGAGGCTTTTTCTGAAAATGATTTTGTTGAAAAGTTTAATGAAAAGTATGTTGAAAAGATTAATACTGCAGATAATATTTATTTACAAGAAAAACATTTGATAGAAGAAAATAAATTAAAAACTGAACAGTTTAAAATAAGGGATATAGCATATCCTGGAGAGTATGTAAAAATATATCTCGATATAGACTTTGATAAAAATACAGATTTTTCTAAAATTATAATTTTGGGAATCAATTTAATTTCTGAAACAAAGCAAGAAATTTTACAAGGAAAAATTAAGACAAATAAATGGTACAACAAATTACTTAAGACAAATGATCCTCTTTTATTTTCTGTAGGATGGCGGAGATTTCAAAGTATACCAGTATACAGTTCTAAAACAAGTGGAGAAAATAGAATGTTAAAATACTCATTTAAACATGGATTTTGTTTAATAAATTTTTATGGGACTATTGTTCCTCCTGGAACCAGCTTTTCAGTTTTTTCTGAATCAGCTAAATTCAGAGTACTTGGATACGGTAATATTATGGACGTTACTGGTGAACATAATCTAGTAAAAAAATTAAAACTAGTAGGATATCCCAGTAAAATAATGGGGAATACAGCATTTATTAAAGATATGTTTACATCAGATTTAGAAGTGTTGAAATTTAAAAATGCAAAAGTTAAATCAGTAAGCGGACTAAAAGGGATCGTAAAAAATCCAGTTGGCAAATTTGGTGAGTTTAGAGGTGCATTTGAAGGAGAAATGTTGATGAGTGACATTGTCATTTTAAAATGTTTTGTACCATTTCCTGTGCACAAATTTAGTTTTCCTGTAGAAAATTTTAATAATTTTTGGAAGGGACTTAGAAGTCTTCGAGAAATCAGAGATGAATATGGCATCAAGATTGAAGACAAATATATTGAAGAAGTATCAAGTGAATTAAGTGAAGATACAAAAGATAATGAAGAGTTTGAGTTGCCTGATGAATTAGAAAAGAAATTGCCTTTTGATAAAAGAAAAATACAAAAAGTGAATCGAAGGATTCAGCTTCCAGTTGCACCTGAAGATAAGGAAAGATTGGAATTTGAAAAGGAACTTGCTCTCAAGAGAAAAGAAAAAGAGACACAGCTTTTAAAAAATGCAAAAGCCAAGGAACAAAAATTACAAAAAGAAAGAGAAGTATTTGTAAAAGAAAAAGAAGAAAAACGTAAAAAAACAATAATATCCTCAAAGTTACATAAAAAAAGATATAAAAATTAATTAATTTTTAATATATTTGTCTAATTTTTCTTCAAATTTTCTAAGTTTTTCAATAAGTACTTCATCTTGTTCTAAATCATTATTTAAATATTCATAAATTTTTAAAATATTGCAATTTTTTTCATTCACTTCATTTTCTGCGGCATTTTTATTTACATTTAAATTATTTTCGTCTTCAAAATTTTCTTGTGCATAAAAACTAGGTAAGTTATTGAGCTCTGGAAAATCAAATGAAAAATTATCTTCCATGAAAGGGTAAGTTTTAGTTTCTTTAAAATTGACTGCAGTTATTTTAAATTGTATCTCTGATATAATGTTTACCCTTTTATGCAAATTGGAGACAAAATTCAGTTTACTTATCATTGTGTAGCCATCGTTAAATATATTGGTGAGGTGGAAGGTAAAGAAGGTATTTGGATTGGTTTAGAATTAGATAAACCATTAGGTAAACATAATGGAACATATGAATCAAAAAAATATTTTGAATGCAGTGATTACCATGGTATTTTATATCGGCAAGAAAAATTAAAAAGAGATATACACTTAAATAAAAATATTATGCTTAAAAGCACAGATGAAAAAAGTGGAAGCACTTTAACAAACACGAATAGAAATGAATTACAAAATGAACAAAGTCGGGCAAATAATAAATTAGATTATGAATACAAAACAAAAGTACAAAAAATAATAAAAGAAAGCAAAAATAAATTGACAATCAAAAAATTAAAAAAGGATATAGAAAATTTGAGGTTGGACAACAATAAAATTACAGAAGTATTGCAAACAGAAAATGAAAATCTAAAACATAAATTAGATGAAAAGAACAAATTGCTAGAAAAATATAAAAATAAATTTAGCGACTTTATTTTAAGGATAGAAAGTTTTGAGGTTGAATTTACAAAATTAGTTAAAGGTTTAAAAAATACAAAATATTTAGAAGATGCAGAGTACCAAGTTCTTTGTAAATATTTTAAAGGAGTTATTTTATCAGCGATAGAAAATAAAAATGAAGATCTTGAAAAAAATCTTAAAGAATTTAAAAATATATGTCAAAAAAATGATGTATAAAATGTCTTTAATGATCAAATTCTTGTTTTCTACCCCTTTTTCTTACTAGTTCTAATCTTCGCAATATTTCTTCATTATTGTATCCTTTATAAAAGCTTTCTAAGTATTTCTCATCATGCGCACATTTTACGCTTTTTTCAAAAACATACAAATCAACAGCTTTATCTTCAACTTTTGTAGAAGTAAAAGATAATCCAAAATCAATGACATATATTTTATCATTATAAATAAAATTAGATGTTGTTAAGTCACCGTGGATAATGTTGTTATCATGTAGAAGTTTTACCAATTTACCTATTTCATAAAAAATGTTTTCAGATAAATTTTTTAATTCTTTAACAGTTTTGCCTTCAAGATATTCCATAATTATTATGCTGCCTTTAGAATGCTTATAAATGGGAGCAGGAATTTGTAAAAAGTTTAATTTTTTAAGTGTATTTACTTCTTTTTTGGTTCTTTGTTCAATAATTTTTTTATCTAATTCTTTAATCCGATATTTTTTACTTAATCTTTCTTTATATAAAAGATTATTCTGCAAATAAATTATTGACTCTGCGCCTCTAAAAAGAATTGACATTGAAGGGTGTAAAAAACTCTAAAATCGTTACTAATCCAAAATTTATCAATAAAAAATTCTATTTAATAGATTAAATAGGTTATGACAGCTCAAATTTACAATTTTTTTGCTTAACCTTATTTAAAATTTTGTTAACACTTGTTATAAAAATTAGAAAGTAAAATTTTTAAAATTACCTTTAATAACATTTTTAAAGTACTTTTTAATATTATTACATTACTATCGATAACGGTTTTATTAGAGTTTTGTTCTCCTTGCATGAGGGGTAAAATAAAATTATTTTAAATAACAATCATTCCTCAACAATTACTTTTATTATTTTTGCGTAATTACTATAAAATATTACATTATTTATTTAAGGGTTAGTATTTTCTTTTATATTTGACTTATTGCTTCAGTGACACCACTGAACAAATTTGATGATAGACTCAGCTCTCCCCCATTCTCTGGTACATCTATGTCCACCCTTCTTCGGTATTCCAACGAGATACTCTCAAGAGTCTTCTTAAGTGTCACCGATTGTATGAAAGCATCAATTCGGTCTGCAACATCTAGCCTCTTTTAATACTCTGTATGATATTTGATAACTATACCGTCTCATGTTAGCACATAGGGATTATTTTCATCTTACATCCATGTATTAATCAAAATATATTGGCCAGAAGGCCGTATTTCCTTAACTTTTCCGCTTCTACTTGATGCAGGTTATCTATAGAAGTGATACTTATTTCTACACTAAGTATCTTCTTCGATTTCTTGTTTATAACTACAATGTCTGGTTTATTATATTTGATCTTGATGTCTGTTTTAATTGTAGTGTCGACTCTAATTTCTACAAATCTGATAAAAACGACCCTCTGAACTGAATGGGTTCTAAGGATCTTACCTGATTGTTCTAATTACTATAAAAAGTAAGTTTCTAATTTTATACTTAAATAAAAAATTTTAATAATGTTTGTATATTTATAAGGTAAATAAGCAATGAGTAAGCCCTTAAAAACCCGTTTTCTTATTATTTCTCCATAACATGAATCTTACTAAGTATATTAATTAGCTTTTTTGTTCTGTTTCTAAATGAACTTTTATATTATTCCATATTCTTTTTATGGTGTAAATGTGTACGTTAGTTTCTTAATTTGAAAATCCTTAAGAATAATTAACTGTCTCGTGTGAGGTAAAATACAAAAACTTTCAAACAGTCAGAATATATATATGTCGCTCTATTGTTAAACTATCAGCCTATGTACATTTTCCAATGTGATTATATTCCTATTTTTAGTTAAAATGTAAAAGCCTTACGCCCATTTTATTTATCTCATTAATATGATGTCCTTTATTTATTTTATCTTTATGAATTTGCTTTCTTCTATTTCAATAATGTTTCCATTTCCCCTTAGTAAAAGAAATTAGGTAGAATTATAAAATTTCACTTCGGTTAAATTTACAAATTATATCAGCAGCATGAATTCGTAACAATCAACTTATGTTTGTAATTATTTTATAGATAACAAAGTAAAAAAATTAAATAGCTTCTAAAAATTTATTCTTGGCGAAGCATGCTTTTTAAAAAATTATAATTTATGCTTTTGTAAATGGTTAGAACATATAACATTTGTATCTGTATAAAACTACAAAATTCTATTACATTTAAAACATTTTTTTGATAAAAACTTTATAAATTCTTTAATTACATTTTTTTTTGTCTAATGGTGCATTTCTTTTAAAAAAAGAATAAAATAGTACAAAAATATATTTCAAAAAAATTGTCTTCTTCAAATGCAATATCCAAAAATTGTTATTTTAACTTTATTAATTTAATAATCAAATGGTTTTTAATTTGTCTAAAGACATTTTAAAAATCATATATAAATTTGATAAGACTAACACAATAAGCTAACTATTTTTTTTAAAAGTTACTTTTTTAAAATTCAAAAATCAAAAATATTTATTAAGAAAATTATTATTTCCTTTTCGTTATAATATAATCTAAATGTTTTAAATGATAAGACAAACACAAAAAGTTTATTATTGTATTTAAAAATATTATTTTTACAGGTTAAATAATTATTAATACTTTTAGGAAAATGAAATTTATTTTTAATATAAATTAAAAAGTTTAAAATATCCCTTATATGAAATTCAAAAAAATATTTTGTAATATGAATATCTTAGTATTATTTTTTGGATTTAAATTAGCAATGGAAATACCGGAAATTAGTGAACCAAGTAAAAGTTACAATAATGACGATCCTCCGAAAGAAGCTGGCATAGAGGAGATTGAAGAATTATACTGCGAAAGCGTTGAAAAAAATGGATTAAAAAGAATTTTTTTTTCTGTAATGTTAAGATTTCTAAAATTTACAGCTGATGTAGAACAGACTAAATGGGATCAAGAAATTGAAGAATCTGTTAGTTTGTTACAAATGGAAAAGCAGGAAGTATTTAAACAATTAAGAAATCTGAATTTAAACTTTTTACTAACGATTAAAAAACTTAAAGCCGGTTTATTTGGAGACAATCCCGAACCTAAGTTTTATTTTGAAAAAACCAAACTATTTAATTTTATTAGCGAAAAAGATTTTAGTGGCGAAAATAATGAATGGCCTGACTGGATTGAATCACCTAAATGTAAACAATATATTGGACTTAATAAAGGTGATAAGAGCCGTAAAGGTAACGAAAGTGATAAAAGTAGTAAAATTTATAAAAATGATGAATTTGTTGAATTTTATAATTTAACTATATCCCAAGCCTTATTACTAAAAAGTATTACTACTTATGGCTTTTAGTTAATCTTGTAGTAATGAAAAGTAAAGAGTTGAGCATTGAAGACGTTGCTACTTTGCAGAAATATATTGGAAAAACATCAAATAATGCCAAATATTCCTTTTTAAGTGTAATATTGCTAAAGTGCTTCGAACTTTTTGAATTAGAAAGGTCTTGTTAATAAAAATATTTTATTTTGAACATTACAAATCATCTTTCTATCTGTCTATCTTCTACTGTATTATAAAAAGGTAAGAAAGTTATGATTTAATTTTTAACCCTTCGTTTGTAAATTTAGCAAAATTCCTTTTTTAAAATTTGTAAATTATGTTTAAATTTTTTATTTAAAAGCAGTAATTTACAGCTTAGGGTTTTTACTATATAAACAAATAATATTTTTGTTCCTTTTTTAAATTTATTTTATAATTCTGATTGTAAAGTGTGGGCTATTGTCAAGTTTATTAATTAAAAGAGTACAACTTTCAAATCTAAAAGAATAAATTGCATAAAAACATATAACACAATTTAAGTGAGAGAAAGCATACATACTATTGTAATTCCGTTTTAAGCGGGATAGCGCACAATCTATTGGTATCAATCTAGCTATCTATTTATCTACTATATCATAAAAAAGAAGGAGAATTTTGAATTATTTTTTAATCCTTCTTTTTTAAAAATTTGTAAAATTCTTTGTCATTTTTATTAAGAAAAGTAATATACAGCCTAGAATTTTGTAAGTCTGTAGGCATTAAAAAATTTTGTAAACATTTTAATTTAATTAAATTCATCTTATTAAGTTGTTTATTAAAAAAAATATCATACGTGTTAAGTTTATTTCTAAAAGCGCAGCACAATATTTTCGTACACTTTTTTTTGGTTTTATAGAATTATTTAAATTGTATACAAGGTGTCGTAAGCAAATTTTATTTATAATAAAAAGGGCCATTTTGTAATTTAAAATAATAAGTACACACACAAAGTTGGCATCATACACATTAAAAAGTAAGAACACACATTATATTTGTAATCCCGTTTTGAACAGGATAGATAGCGTAAGCCAAGTCAATATAATAAATTGAATTAAAAGATTTTTTATTTTTTTACATTTTTAACAACAGCTAAAAAATTAGTTCTAAAGTTTTTTAATTATTTTAACAAATTTAAAAAGTTTTTTAACTATGTACATTATTTATGATATTTAAAATATTGGTATATTAATTCTTAATGTATTTCTGTAATTGGTACGCTTTTTAATATTTATATAAATCATTATAGCTTATCAATGATTTTAATATAGCAAATTAACAAAGATCTAATTAAATGATACTTGAGTTAGAAAAAAGTTTTGCATGTCGGGTAAATTTATACTATTATTTAAATAAATAAAACCAATTATTTGCAATGTTAAGTTAGACAAAAAAGGCTTAAACTAAAAAATTAAAAATATGTTTATTATATGCTTCCTATATCCAGATATAAAAATTCCTAATAATAAATTTATTATATCTAAACATCTACAAATAGAATTTATATATTAAAATAATCTTAATGATTAAAAATCTAAAGTATCATACTTTTTTAAAAAAATGCTTCTTATAAATTTGGTTGTCTATTACTAAGAGAAAATATTTTTTAACGATTCTTAAAGTTAATGTAAATGGAACTTGGATAAAAAAAAAATTTTATCTTTAAGTTTTAAATTTCGAGATATTAAAAGACGTGCTTTCTTTATTATTAAATTTAACACAATAAATATTTATCAAGACTTTATGTATAAGCAATAATCCTTCATTTATGATTTTATACTGACGCAACGATATTTTGCATTCTTCTAAATTTGTAATTAATTGTGAAATTAAATCATTTTAATTTGACATAATAAAATTAGCCACTTTTTTCACTTTCCTTTGATTTTGTAAATATTTAACATAATCATTTAAATTGATTTGTAGTACCAATTTATACTTTTTATTTCAATTTTACTTTTACTTTTCAGAGATCAGAGAATTTAAACCGGTGCTGCACGATTTTTGAAATACACCTTTTTTAATTTTTTTACCCTTATTTATAAAAGTTGTACATAAAAGAGAAGTATAAATTTTACAATACTTTATGTTTTATTCTCTAAAATTTCATTCATGGACATTTAATTTTATATATTTTTTTAGATGTATTTTAATAGCAAATAAATAAATAAAATTTTTAAATTATTTTATTAAACATTTTTTGAATTATAAAAAAAGACAATTTATATAATTTTTAGCTAAATGAAAATCTTTTTCATTTTAAAACAGCAATAATCTTAAAAGAAGAAAATTAAATTCATTATAGTCATACACTTTACAGGAACTTTTCTTTTGACAGTAGATTATTTTTCTTACAGTTGTTATAATAATTAGTAAAAAAAATATTTTTTTATATTTAAAGCATCTCTAAGGTATTATTTTATTTTTAAAAAAATCTGCAATATTTTTGTGCTCTTCTATTATGTTCAACATTTAAAAATAAGTGTAAAAAAATTAAAAAGGTGTATATCGAAAAATGAGCAGCACAACTAAAATTGTTTCTAAAATTGCTTTATAAAAGTAAATTTTTTAGAAATATTTATTTAGGATACTGCTATTACCAAGAGGCTGGCCAAGACATCTTGGTGACTTCGTAAAACAAAAAGAACTGTTTTATTGGGCAAAATTGTTTATTTAGAATTTCTTAAATAGTTTTCGTGAATGATATGTCACAAGAAGTTACAGATCATTTTCAATCTTTTAGTTTGGAAGTTTTAGCCTTATGATTAGCGGATTAGAGAACTCTTGTAACAATTGCTATTTTTTTCACTACAAATTAAAAAGTTTTTAATTTTAAGGTTAACTATTTCATTGAAAAAGAAATTTTATAAAAATAAACTTTTTAAAAATATTTATTAAAGAAATTGAGTTAATGGAACCCTGATCGACCACAAAAGTGGGTCCTAAAATTTTTTATTTTTTACCCTCGAAAAATGAAATTTAGAAGATTGAAAAGAAAAAAATACTTTGGATAATATAGAAGTATTTATGGATCTGTGTATAAAAGCTGCACAGGATTCGTTTTTTTAAAATAAAGAAAAACTATGAATTTGTTAGATGTTATAAATAAGCTTTGTCCAATTTATAGGAATAAGGTCTCGGTTTGGAAGGACGCTAGTTTTGAAATATAAAGGTTTCAAAAATTGTTTTTTAAAGATTATTGAACTATGATTAGCTAAGGCTAATACATCTCTAATACAGTTTATTTTACGAATATTAATAAAGTGTACGCAGAGTTTTAAAGAAATTTTTTGAACAATTAGTAATTAAACTTTATTCAAATATTAATTATATAGGAAATGAACATGAATTTATTGAAATTGATGAATCGAAGATAGGTAAAAGAAAACACAATAAAGGTCATCTGGTAGAAGGTGTGTGGATTTTCGGGCTTGTTAAATGAAAAAAGAAATAATTTTATATTTTAAGTCAATGATAGAACGAAATCAACCTTAAGATTTCATTTAAGTAGAAGTATGGCACCAAATTCAATAATATATAGCGATTGTTGTAAAGGTTACACTAAATTAGAAGAGATTGGTGTCAAGCATTTTACAATAAATCGTTCTAAGTATTTTAAAGACATAAATAAGTATTTAGACTAATACTATAGAAGGATGCCGGTCTTCTCTAAAAAAATGATATATCTTACAGATGCAGAACCAGCACTCTTATAAGTCCTTACTTAGTACGATTTATGTTGACAAAAGATTACAAAATTAATTATTTCTATGGCTTTTTTAGGCATTTTCAAACCAAAGCCTAGAAGATAAATTTTTATTAAATATTTTTTTATAATTCTTTTCTTTTCAATCTTCTGAATTTCATTTTTGGAGTAAAAAATGAAAAATTTTAGGACCCACTTTTGTGGTCGATCTGGGTCCCAAACTCCAAGAAATTGTAATTTCTTTTTTCACTATAAAAAAGTTTAAATAATTTGAAAACACAAAAAAAAGACTATTTTATTTTAAAAATTGTTTTATGAAATTAAATTTATCAAAAATATTTAATTAGAAAATTGTTATTTCTTAAAATTTAAAAGTTTAAAATGATTTGAAAACACAAAAAAAAACTATTTTATTTAAAAAATTGTTTTATGAAATTAAATTTATCAAAAATATTTAATTAGAAAATTGTTTTTTCTTAAAATTGTAAAGTTTAAAATGATTTGACAAACACAAAAATAAACTGTTTTATTTAAAAATTGTTTTGTGAAGTTTAATTTGACAAAAATATTTAATAAGAAAATTATTATTTCTTTTTTCACTATAAATTAAAAAGTTTAAAATATTTTGAAAAACACAAATAAACCATTTTATTTTAAAAATTGTTTTGTGAAGTTTAATTTGACAAAAATATTTAATAAGAAAATTATTATTTTTTGTTACTATAAATTAAAAAGTTTGAGGTACCCCTTATATGGAATTTAAAAAAATATTTTGTAGTACAAATATCTTAGTATTGTTTTTTGGGTTTAAATTAGCAATGGAAACTCGAGAAGTTAGCGAATTAAGTCGAAGCGATAATCCTTATCTTTCAAACGTAAATAAAATTAAGGAAATCGAAGAATTATACTATCAGGATGCTGAAAAAAAAGGATTGAAAAGAATTTTTTTTTCTGTAATGCTTAGATTTCTTAAACTATTAGCTAATGTAGAAAAAACTGAATGGGACCAAAAAACTGATAAATATTGTCGTTTTAAAAAAATATCTGATCTAGAAGAGATTCAACTATTGAAAGAACAGAATTTTGAATTTTCTAAAATGCTTAAAGGACTTAGTTCCAGTTTATTTAGGGACAACCCCAATGTTAAGTTTTTTTTCGAAAAAACTAAACTATTTAATTTTATTAGCGAAGAAAATTTTAGTGGTAAGGTTAATGAGTATCCTGACTGGAATAAATTGCATGCATGGTATGAAGTTGATGAATTTGATGAATTTGATAAAAGTGGTGTATGTGATAAAAGTGTTGTATGTGATGAAGGTAATGAAAGTGAGAAAAGTTATGAAGGTAATGAAAGTGAGAAAGGTGATGAAAGTGATGAAGGTAATGAAAGTGATGAAAGTGATGAAAGTAAGGAAAGTGATGAAAGTAAGGAAAGTGATGAAAGTAAGGAAAGTAACGAAGGTGAAGGAAGTGATGTATGTGATGAAAGTGAGGAAAGTAAGAAAATTAATGATTTTAAAAAAAGTATTAAGTTTTTTCCACTTTATAATTTAACTTTATCTCAAACTTTATTACTAAAAAAGTATTATCATTTATGGTTTTTGGTCATCAGAAAAGTATTGCACAATGATGAAGTTAGCATTCATGATTTTGTTATATTGTATAAAAATTTTGGTATTGCACCAAATAAAAATGAATATTCTTTTTTAACTATAATACTAATTAAGTGTTTTGAATTATTTGAATCGGAAGATTAAGTAATAAAAATATTTTATTTTAAACGCTATAAATTTTAAATAAAATAAAAATTTAGGTTTTTTTACTTAATAATTTAATTGTACTATTATTAGTGTGTACAGATGATTGTATTAACTATAAATTTTATATTCATGATTCTATATACAAAATAAATATCTTTTAATAAAATATATAATATTAAGCATATCTTATGTTATGTTAATAAGGCAGTATTAATTGCAAAACATTGTATTTAATACTGTTAATTTGAAGCAAAAATTTTAGGTTTAAATTTTTAATTTTAAATAAGTAAGGATTTTGACACAAATTCATAAAATTATAATAAAAAAGTTTGTGAAGTCATTGTTTAAAATAAATTTTGAAAATTGTTTATTGATGGTTTTTTTGCTCATTACTGTCGTAATATTTCTTTTTCGTACTTCTAGTACTTTGTCCTACTCTACTTATACCCCTATTAAATATAATTTTTGTATATTTTAAAAAATTCTAGAAAATTTTTATCACTTATAACTTACTAAAAATGTGATATTCTATTATAAGCATTTTTTAATATTGTAATTTTTATATTTTTGCGTAAATTATTATTAAAAATAGGTACCTAATTTTATACTTAAATAAAAAATTTTAATAATGTTTGTATATTTATAAGGTAAATAAGCAATGAGTAAGCCCTTAAAAACCCGTTTTCTTATTATTTCTCCATAACATGAATCTTACTAAGTATATTAATTAGCTTTTTTGTTCTGTTTCTAAATGAACTTTTATATCATTCCATATTCTTTTTATGGTGCAAATGTGTACGTTAGTTTCTTAATTTGAAAATCCTTAAGAATAATTAACTGTCTCGTGTGCAGTAAAATACAAAAACTTTCAAACAGTCAGAATATATATATGTCGCTCTATTGTTAAACTATCAGCCTATGTACATTTTCCAATGTGATTATATTCCTATTTTTAGTTAAAATGTAAAAGCCTTACGCCCATTTTATTTATCTCATTAATATGATGTCCTTTATTTATTTTATCTTTATGAATTTGCTTTCTTCTATTTCAATAATGTTTCCATTTCCCCTTAGTAAAAGAAATTAGGTAGAATTATAAAATTTCACTTCGGTTAAATTTACAAATTATATCAGCAGCATGAATTCGTAACAATCAACTTATGTTTGTAATTATTTTATAGATAACAAAGTAAAAAAATTAAATAGCTTCTAAAAATTTATTCTTGGCGAAGCATGCTTTTTAAAAAATTATAATTTATGCTTTTGTAAATGGTTAGAACATATAACATTTGTATCTGTATAAAACTACAAAATTCTATTACATTTAAAACATTTTTTTGATAAAAACTTTATAAATTCTTTAATTACATTTTTTTTTGTCTAATGGTGCATTTCTTTTAAAAAAAGAATAAAATAGTACAAAAATATATTTCAAAAAAATTGTCTTCTTCAAATGCAATATCCAAAAATTGTTATTTTAACTTTATTAATTTAATAATCAAATGGTTTTTAATTTGTCTAAAGACATTTTAAAAATCATATATAAATTTGATAAGACTAACACAATAAGCTAACTATTTTTTTTAAAAGTTACTTTTTTAAAATTCAAAAATCAAAAATATTTATTAAGAAAATTATTATTTCCTTTTCGTTATAATATAATCTAAATGTTTTAAATGATAAGACAAACACAAAAAGTTTATTATTGTATTTAAAAATATTATTTTTACAGGTTAAATAATTATTAATACTTTTAGGAAAATGAAATTTATTTTTAATATAAATTAAAAAGTTTAAAATATCCCTTATATGAAATTCAAAAAAATATTTTGTAATATGAATATCTTAGTATTATTTTTTGGATTTAAATTAGCAATGGAAATACCGGAAATTAGTGAACCAAGTAAAAGTTACAATAATGACGATCCTCCGAAAGAAGCTGGCATAGAGGAGATTGAAGAATTATACTGCGAAAGCGTTGAAAAAAATGGATTAAAAAGAATTTTTTTTTCTGTAATGTTAAGATTTCTAAAATTTACAGCTGATGTAGAACAGACTAAATGGGATCAAGAAATTGAAGAATCTGTTAGTTTGTTACAAATGGAAAAGCAGGAAGTATTTAAACAATTAAGAAATCTGAATTTAAACTTTTTACTAACGATTAAAAAACTTAAAGCCGGTTTATTTGGAGACAATCCCGAACCTAAGTTTTATTTTGAAAAAACCAAACTATTTAATTTTATTAGCGAAAAAGATTTTAGTGGCGAAAATAATGAATGGCCTGACTGGATTGAATCACCTAAATGTAAACAATATATTGGACTTAATAAAGGTGATAAGAGCCGTAAAGGTAACGAAAGTGATAAAAGTAGTAAAATTTATAAAAATGATGAATTTGTTGAATTTTATAATTTAACTATATCCCAAGCCTTATTACTAAAAAGTATTACTACTTATGGCTTTTAGTTAATCTTGTAGTAATGAAAAGTAAAGAGTTGAGCATTGAAGACGTTGCTACTTTGCAGAAATATATTGGAAAAACATCAAATAATGCCAAATATTCCTTTTTAAGTGTAATATTGCTAAAGTGCTTCGAACTTTTTGAATTAGAAAGGTCTTGTTAATAAAAATATTTTATTTTGAACATTACAAATCATCTTTCTATCTGTCTATCTTCTACTGTATTATAAAAAGGTAAGAAAGTTATGATTTAATTTTTAACCCTTCGTTTGTAAATTTAGCAAAATTCCTTTTTTAAAATTTGTAAATTATGTTTAAATTTTTTATTTAAAAGCAGTAATTTACAGCTTAGGGTTTTTACTATATAAACAAATAATATTTTTGTTCCTTTTTTAAATTTATTTTATAATTCTGATTGTAAAGTGTGGGCTATTGTCAAGTTTATTAATTAAAAGAGTACAACTTTCAAATCTAAAAGAATAAATTGCATAAAAACATATAACACAATTTAAGTGAGAGAAAGCATACATACTATTGTAATTCCGTTTTAAGCGGGATAGCGCACAATCTATTGGTATCAATCTAGCTATCTATTTATCTACTATATCATAAAAAAGAAGGAGAATTTTGAATTATTTTTTAATCCTTCTTTTTTAAAAATTTGTAAAATTCTTTGTCATTTTTATTAAGAAAAGTAATATACAGCCTAGAATTTTGTAAGTCTGTAGGCATTAAAAAATTTTGTAAACATTTTAATTTAATTAAATTCATCTTATTAAGTTGTTTATTAAAAAAAATATCATACGTGTTAAGTTTATTTCTAAAAGCGCAGCACAATATTTTCGTACACTTTTTTTTGGTTTTATAGAATTATTTAAATTGTATACAAGGTGTCGTAAGCAAATTTTATTTATAATAAAAAGGGCCATTTTGTAATTTAAAATAATAAGTACACACACAAAGTTGGCATCATACACATTAAAAAGTAAGAACACACATTATATTTGTAATCCCGTTTTGAACAGGATAGATAGCGTAAGCCAAGTCAATATAATAAATTGAATTAAAAGATTTTTTATTTTTTTACATTTTTAACAACAGCTAAAAAATTAGTTCTAAAGTTTTTTAATTATTTTAACAAATTTAAAAAGTTTTTTAACTATGTACATTATTTATGATATTTAAAATATTGGTATATTAATTCTTAATGTATTTCTGTAATTGGTACGCTTTTTAATATTTATATAAATCATTATAGCTTATCAATGATTTTAATATAGCAAATTAACAAAGATCTAATTAAATGATACTTGAGTTAGAAAAAAGTTTTGCATGTCGGGTAAATTTATACTATTATTTAAATAAATAAAACCAATTATTTGCAATGTTAAGTTAGACAAAAAAGGCTTAAACTAAAAAATTAAAAATATGTTTATTATATGCTTCCTATATCCAGATATAAAAATTCCTAATAATAAATTTATTATATCTAAACATCTACAAATAGAATTTATATATTAAAATAATCTTAATGATTAAAAATCTAAAGTATCATACTTTTTTAAAAAAATGCTTCTTATAAATTTGGTTGTCTATTACTAAGAGAAAATATTTTTTAACGATTCTTAAAGTTAATGTAAATGGAACTTGGATAAAAAAAAAATTTTATCTTTAAGTTTTAAATTTCGAGATATTAAAAGACGTGCTTTCTTTATTATTAAATTTAACACAATAAATATTTATCAAGACTTTATGTATAAGCAATAATCCTTCATTTATGATTTTATACTGACGCAACGATATTTTGCATTCTTCTAAATTTGTAATTAATTGTGAAATTAAATCATTTTAATTTGACATAATAAAATTAGCCACTTTTTTCACTTTCCTTTGATTTTGTAAATATTTAACATAATCATTTAAATTGATTTGTAGTACCAATTTATACTTTTTATTTCAATTTTACTTTTACTTTTCAGAGATCAGAGAATTTAAACCGGTGCTGCACGATTTTTGAAATACACCTTTTTTAATTTTTTTACCCTTATTTATAAAAGTTGTACATAAAAGAGAAGTATAAATTTTACAATACTTTATGTTTTATTCTCTAAAATTTCATTCATGGACATTTAATTTTATATATTTTTTTAGATGTATTTTAATAGCAAATAAATAAATAAAATTTTTAAATTATTTTATTAAACATTTTTTGAATTATAAAAAAAGACAATTTATATAATTTTTAGCTAAATGAAAATCTTTTTCATTTTAAAACAGCAATAATCTTAAAAGAAGAAAATTAAATTCATTATAGTCATACACTTTACAGGAACTTTTCTTTTGACAGTAGATTATTTTTCTTACAGTTGTTATAATAATTAGTAAAAAAAATATTTTTTTATATTTAAAGCATCTCTAAGGTATTATTTTATTTTTAAAAAAATCTGCAATATTTTTGTGCTCTTCTATTATGTTCAACATTTAAAAATAAGTGTAAAAAAATTAAAAAGGTGTATATCGAAAAATGAGCAGCACAACTAAAATTGTTTCTAAAATTGCTTTATAAAAGTAAATTTTTTAGAAATATTTATTTAGGATACTGCTATTACCAAGAGGCTGGCCAAGACATCTTGGTGACTTCGTAAAACAAAAAGAACTGTTTTATTGGGCAAAATTGTTTATTTAGAATTTCTTAAATAGTTTTCGTGAATGATATGTCACAAGAAGTTACAGATCATTTTCAATCTTTTAGTTTGGAAGTTTTAGCCTTATGATTAGCGGATTAGAGAACTCTTGTAACAATTGCTATTTTTTTCACTACAAATTAAAAAGTTTTTAATTTTAAGGTTAACTATTTCATTGAAAAAGAAATTTTATAAAAATAAACTTTTTAAAAATATTTATTAAAGAAATTGAGTTAATGGAACCCTGATCGACCACAAAAGTGGGTCCTAAAATTTTTTATTTTTTACCCTCGAAAAATGAAATTTAGAAGATTGAAAAGAAAAAAATACTTTGGATAATATAGAAGTATTTATGGATCTGTGTATAAAAGCTGCACAGGATTCGTTTTTTTAAAATAAAGAAAAACTATGAATTTGTTAGATGTTATAATAAGCTTTGTCCAATTTATAGGAATAAGGTCTCGGTTTGGAAGGACGCTAGTTTTGAAATATAAAGGTTTCAAAAATTGTTTTTTAAAGATTATTGAACTATGATTAGCTAAGGCTAATACATCTCTAATACAGTTTATTTTACGAATATTAATAAAGTGTACGCAGAGTTTTAAAGAAATTTTTTGAACAATTAGTAATTAAACTTTATTCAAATATTAATTATATAGGAAATGAACATGAATTTATTGAAATTGATGAATCGAAGATAGGTAAAAGAAAACACAATAAAGGTCATCTGGTAGAAGGTGTGTGGATTTTCGGGCTTGTTAAATGAAAAAAGAAATAATTTTATATTTTAAGTCAATGATAGAACGAAATCAACCTTAAGATTTCATTTAAGTAGAAGTATGGCACCAAATTCAATAATATATAGCGATTGTTGTAAAGGTTACACTAAATTAGAAGAGATTGGTGTCAAGCATTTTACAATAAATCGTTCTAAGTATTTTAAAGACATAAATAAGTATTTAGACTAATACTATAGAAGGATGCCGGTCTTCTCTAAAAAAATGATATATCTTACAGATGCAGAACCAGCACTCTTATAAGTCCTTACTTAGTACGATTTATGTTGACAAAAGATTACAAAATTAATTATTTCTATGGCTTTTTTAGGCATTTTCAAACCAAAGCCTAGAAGATAAATTTTTATTAAATATTTTTTTATAATTCTTTTCTTTTCAATCTTCTGAATTTCATTTTTGGAGTAAAAAATGAAAAATTTTAGGACCCACTTTTGTGGTCGATCTGGGTCCCAAACTCCAAGAAATTGTAATTTCTTTTTTCACTATAAAAAAGTTTAAATAATTTGAAAACACAAAAAAAAGACTATTTTATTTTAAAAATTGTTTTATGAAATTAAATTTATCAAAAATATTTAATTAGAAAATTGTTATTTCTTAAAATTTAAAAGTTTAAAATGATTTGAAAACACAAAAAAAAACTATTTTATTTAAAAAATTGTTTTATGAAATTAAATTTATCAAAAATATTTAATTAGAAAATTGTTTTTTCTTAAAATTGTAAAGTTTAAAATGATTTGACAAACACAAAAATAAACTGTTTTATTTAAAAATTGTTTTGTGAAGTTTAATTTGACAAAAATATTTAATAAGAAAATTATTATTTCTTTTTTCACTATAAATTAAAAAGTTTAAAATATTTTGAAAAACACAAATAAACCATTTTATTTTAAAAATTGTTTTGTGAAGTTTAATTTGACAAAAATATTTAATAAGAAAATTATTATTTTTTGTTACTATAAATTAAAAAGTTTGAGGTACCCCTTATATGGAATTTAAAAAAATATTTTGTAGTACAAATATCTTAGTATTGTTTTTTGGGTTTAAATTAGCAATGGAAACTCGAGAAGTTAGCGAATTAAGTCGAAGCGATAATCCTTATCTTTCAAACGTAAATAAAATTAAGGAAATCGAAGAATTATACTATCAGGATGCTGAAAAAAAAGGATTGAAAAGAATTTTTTTTTCTGTAATGCTTAGATTTCTTAAACTATTAGCTAATGTAGAAAAAACTGAATGGGACCAAAAAACTGATAAATATTGTCGTTTTAAAAAAATATCTGATCTAGAAGAGATTCAACTATTGAAAGAACAGAATTTTGAATTTTCTAAAATGCTTGAAGGACTTAGTTCCAGTTTATTTGGGGACAACCCCAATGTTAAGTTTTTTTTTGAAAAAACTAAACTATTTAATTTTATTAGCGAAGAAGATTTTAGTGGTGAAAATAAAGGATGCCCTGATTGGAATGAATTGCGTGCATGTGACCAATATTATAGATCTCGTGAAGATGATAAAAATAATATATGTGAAAAAGGTGATGAGAGTGGTGAAGCCAATAAAAATGATAAAGTTAATGAGTTTGTTGCACTTTATAAATTATCTATATCTGAAGCCTTATTGCTAAAGAAATATTATCAATTGTGGTCTTTGGCTAATAAAGAAATATTGTGCAATGATGAAGTTAGCATTCATGATTTTCTTATATTGCGGAAGTATATTGGTATAACATCAAATAATGCTAAATATTCATTTTTTAGTTTAATATTAATTAAGCTTTTTGAATTAATCGAATCGAAAGGTTTCTTATAAAAATATTTTATTTTGTAAATTACCAATTGTAAATAAAATAATTTAAAAATTTTTTCATTTAATATTTTAATTAGACTTGAGAGATAATAAAGATTATCATTATTCCTCGAAGTTATTGCTGGTATAGTTGACAACTTAAATTGTAAATTTTTCTTATTTTTTACACTCGTTTTGCTCTAACAATAAAGCGACAAACGACAAAGTATGATTATTTTTAAAAATGAGGAAAAGAACGACTCAAAAAAGTTTATAGCGGATGTGTAGGATATGGGAAGGTTGAATGAATACAGTTAGAGATAACTATTAATAAATGTTTAAATTGCCTCTTAGTAAAGAGCTAAAGATTGGATGATGGCTAAAGCCAGTGGGTTTGGGGCTGAGTGAATTGCTGAATCGATTTAAAGAGAAATTTGTTAGCAAATAGATGAGTAAAATAAGTTTAAAATCTGGCAGCTCTCAATTATACAGGTGGATCTATACTAAACTAGCTGGACGAGGTGACAGCGTTTGCATGCAAAGAATATGTTCCAGAATAGGTATCAATAGCCTATCTACTTAATAGATTTTTAAACAATCTGGCAAATATTGTGCTTATTAATAATAAAAATGGACTTACTTGGTCTTATATTATGGTGCAATTATAAACATTAACATTACAAATAAACAGTGGTGGGACATAGTAAGATCGCAAAGTAATGTAAAAGGAATTGATGCAGTAAAAATCAAGAATAGGATGCGAAAAATAAAGCTTAATTGAAGATGGGGTGCTTTATATCTTTTTATGGTAAATGGCGATTTTCCGCTAAAAAATGGGTTTTAAAAATCAACTGATGGATTTTGACGCTATAAAATTTTACAAAAAAAGGACAACTGTCGGATTTTTCCGCAAAGTTTTAAATAACATTTAAACATCAGTTTCATGCAAATAATAATTTTTGAATTTTTTAGATTAATTTTTTGTGGTGATACTTTTTTAAAATTTAAATTTTTAAGTAAATAAAATATCATGTGGTTTTAAATAAAAAATTATTTAAGTATTATTTTCATAATAATTCCTAAAACGAAGTCCTAGATGCAAAAATTTTGTGAATATTATACAGTAATGATTTGTTTCTGATCTTATTCAATTTCTGTTAGATTTAACACATCAATTACATTTAATCGGGATTTTACAATAATGTATTTTATTATTTTAAATTTTTTTGTCATAACAAAGAAGCTGGTTTGCAAGCGATGACAAAAAAATCATATTTAAACTTTTTTCTTTGTCATAACAAAGAAGCTGCTTTGCAAGCGATGACAAAAAAATCATAT